TACCCTCCTAATGTACTCAAGTCGTCCCAGACTAGTGTGGGAACCTTGTTAATCGAGCCTGACCCCAAGGTCAGGTCAGGTCAGGACATGACCGTCCATCTCGGCCCTGTGCGATCTGGAAGGTTTTCCCAGCCGTAAAACACGAGTTCTTGGCCACGTTAATAGCTCGGACCCCAAGACACCAGGTATGCACCGCCCACAGCGTGGTAACCAATCCGGTGTGGCCGTCACGGCCCAAAGGTTCTCACGGCCAGCACTGGTCAGCCTCTGACCACCGCCAGGTTGATGGATGAGCGTGAGATCGCTACCCCAACATACGGGTCAGCCCAGGTTAAACACCAGGTGGTCGTAACAGTGGTCTAATATTTTCGGCAACACATGAGTGTCGTTACATATTTTAAACTAACACAGTGTTATCTCCATTACTTGACTATTAACACATTACGTATAAGGATATCTCTCAGCTTAGTCACTTAAGACCAACAAATGACCACAATGAATTATGTTACCCTCGTATGGCAGTAGATTATAACATATAATTCGGTATTGTACATACAAAAGTTGGACTACATGAGTACAGTAAAACCTATGTACACACAAAAGTTGGACTACATGAGTACAGTAAAACCTATGTACACACAAAAGTTGGACTACATGAGTACAGTAAAACCTATGTCTAGACGACACGTGTGAAAAAAAAATTATGGTACAAATAATTTATTTTTAAATCAAAGTTTGGCCTATTTTTCCTTTTGGCACACTGGGATTAGATCCACGGCCCAGTAGTACAGACCCCTGATCTCAGTAGCGTAGCGAGGGGGGGGGGGGGCGGGGACATATGTCCCCGGGCGCCGACCTTAGGGGGCGCCAAAATGGGTTGGAAAAATAAATTGAAAGGTTGAGGGGGGTGCAAATCAAAAGTTTGAGGGGGGGGGGGGTGCAAATCGAAATCTCGAGGGGGGGGGGGGTGCAAATCGAAAAGTTTGTCCCCGGGCGCCGGGAAGGGTCGCTACGCCTCTGCCTGATCTACACCGACTAGCTATTCAGACCCAATCTATTAATGGCATTGTGTATTTAGAGTCAACAACATACAACACATGCGTTTGAATTTTAGACACGTATTTTCCTTTGTTTTATACCATTGAGATGAGATATATAGTATGCATACACGTATTCTATATTAGAGTATCAACAGATTCCATGCTAATATATATATATATATATATATATATATATATATATATATATATATATATATATATATATATATATATATATATATATATATATATATATATATATATATATATATATATATATATACTTTTTTTCTGTGACTTTTTTTTCTCTGCATTCGAGTTCCATACCCTAGATATGTGCTGCAACATTTTGGGTTCTTATTGATTGGCCACATACCCGATCAGCTAGCTACAGCCGATAACGTTACACGGGCTTTGTATACACGTGTTCGGTTAAGGGTAATAAATAATGAATTAGATGATTACGGTAAAAAACATTTAAAGTTTGAACAATCAACGGTGGGCATGTTTAAGTGGAGAAACTGGTTTTTTTTCCCACGTTTTCTTTAACTTGCTTTCTCTGTGTGTTTATTTATTTATTTGTTTGTCTTTCCAATCCAATCTTGCGATCGAAATTTCTGGCACTTCCCAGTTAGCTAGCGCGCTGAAATTTTCAGGGAAGCTTTCTTTTGGATGACCATTGAATATTCAATTGTTATTATTACTAAATTGATCAATGGAAACATTTTATTGAGCAGTTTAGACCGCTATATAATCTATATATATAATTCTCCTCTGCTAGCCATTACAAAAAAAACCAGCGACGCGTACCTCGCGCGCAGTGAAGCGAACGATCACATGTCGCCACAGGCTTAGGGGCAGAGAATTTAGCTTGAACCGAGTTTAAACTTACAGGAGGTAGGCCAGTTTGGGGGAGACGATATGGTCGAGTGGTTGGGCACACGATTGCTATCCCACTCGACACGGGTTCAAATCTATGTGTTCTAGTCAGTAACGTATTCAAACAACGTGTTTTTTACGAGTTGTCTTTTTACGAGTTGTCTTTTTACGAGTTGTCTTCGTTTACCCAAAAAAAGTGAAAAGATAAAATCGATAGCAAGATTTTAATGCAAACAAACAGACAAAGACTAAAAAGTAGAAAATAATAATCATTAAAAAAGTTTTAAAAAACCCACGTTTTCTGATTGAACTAAAAAGTAGAAAATAAATGCTATAGGCCCTACATCACAATAATGCAAGCGATCACTCTACTATAAGCGAGCAAAAACGTGGGGCGCCGTGATTTTCTTACAGTTTCTAATACTGTTGACTCTCTACAAGCTCCCTAATAAAAGTCAATAGTATTATCTAATCAATAGTAATATTACTTCTACTTCGGCGCCCCACGTTTTTGATCGCTTATAGTAGAGTGATCGCTTGCATTATTGTGATGTAGGGCCTATAGCATTTATTTTCTACTTTTTAGTTCAATCAGAAAACGTGGGTTTTTTAAAACTTTTTTAATGATTATTATTTCTCGATAAGTTTTCTAGGAAATGAGCTGATCGCTATCTCAACTATCCGTGTTTAGATGTTTGGCCATTTGCCAAAAATAAAACATGAACCCAGTACACTTGCATCGACAGCCTACAAGGATAGAAAACAAAATCAATGATCACATTCAAGCGGTCTGTTGTTGGGTTGGTTTGTCTCTGGCTTCTCTCAGAGGCACAAACCTTCCACCGACAAAGCACATTTTATAAATGCTTGATTTTAATAGAAACTATATTCTTAAACCACAATAGTTGCTGCCATCCCCCCCTCCTCCCCCAACATGTCGTTGCACATCAATTACATTCCCTACACACTGAGCAGCTATGACGACACGAACACACCATCCCATGTCATTGTTCACCTCCCAGCCACGCGCTTTATTTTATTGACCTAGTTTATGACACGCGAGGGTTTCCCGCCTTTAATTCTGTACACAAAGGCGACAGAACATATTTCTGCTAGGGCTTAGTCATGGTTGATGTCGGAAATGTACATACTACTTAAACTTAAAGCCTTTTTCGATACACCGCCCCGTTACAAAAATAGATGTAAGAATTAGGTTAATCGGTTGTATGATTTAAAGAAAGTAAAATTATGTGCATATTATACACACCATGGCGCGCAAAAATAGTGACAAGTAAGGACATGTATTGTTGTAGGTCGTCTTTTGAGAACCCCTCGGTCTCTTCCAAGAAAAATAACAGGCTAAAGTCCTTTTTAAAAAATAAATCTTTTTCTAAAAGGGGTCGGCTTGCTGTTAATAAAGGGGAGATATTTTTTGTGGGTTTTCACGATATTATATCATACGTTTGCGCTTTCATCGTTCCCCATCACATTGCTTGATCTAGAATAAATGGAACGGAAATTGATATTTTCACAATTTTTGTCTTCAAGTTTTGAAAAGTACTACATCTAATTGTAGGCATATTCTAAGGTTAATTCTCCCTCCTCCCCAGCGTACCCCTGAGCTCATTGTCACGGTTTCTAACTTGAGGCTAGACAAACAACATTAAAGCTTAGCAGGGGCGTAGCGAGGGGCGGGGGGTGCGGACCGCACCGGGTGACACCATTTAGGGGGGTGACACCAAGGCAAAAAATAGCAAAATATATAGAGAAAAACTTGAGGGGGGGGGGGTGCAAATCGAAAGTTTAAGGGGGGGGGGTGCACATCAAAAACTTGAGGGGGGGGGGGGTGCAAATCGAAAACTTGAAAGTTTGTCCCCGGGAAGGGTCGCAACGCATCTGGAGGGGGGGTGACACCATTAAGTGCCGCACCGGGTGACACCCGACCTCGCTACGCCACTGAAGCTTAGCACTAAGCATGTATTTCGTGGACTATATAGATATAGCTAAAATATCACCTAAAAAGTTTATTTTGCCTAGCTTAAGTTTCGCTATGTAATGAATACATGTGATCTTATCTTCGTCCTATTGAATTAAATGCCAAAAATTGCCAGTTAGCGAGAATCAAAATATTTCCCTTGAATGGCTTTCTAGAAGAATCTTAGAACGTGTTTTCATTAACTAGTCACTGTGTCGTCTGTGTAAAAACAAGATCCCAAACCAATAATTCGTGAATAGTTTCGTTAAATAATTGTATAAATTAGGTCTCTATTATTATTATTCATCGTATTATAATAAAAATAACGACCGTACCCCTAATAATTTTTATAATATAATTATTAATAGATCTAGATATTATATGCCTGTGTTAATCTAAACAATGGGGGTTAAATAATATTTGTATGGGGAAAAAAACTAGATTCAGAAATGTAGGCATAATGAAAGCCCATTTTTGACCTAGTATGTAGATTAATCTAGATCTAATAATAGAATAATGAAAGGTCTGTCCTGATTCTCAAAGTGAAATTCTATAATGATACAATTTAGTTTTTGCAAGTAATCCTACAATCTAGAACTAGGGCCAGCAGATTAAAAAAAAAAAATCAAATGTACGAATCATATGCAGATCTAGCGTTAAGGTTGGATAGATTTTTAAAAAAAATCATCTTTATAATACTAGTGACTAGGTCTAGATCTAGGTCTACAATGAAATGTGTAACAAAGTTTATTGAAGGAGGTTTCTAACGACGCTTATTCACGTGATGTAGCGCTGATCAACCATTGGTCGATGAATTACTGAAAATGCGTTCGAGAACTTTCTAGTAGTTTTATTTCGTCACTTCCTACTCTTCTTGGGCGATATGAGTAGAGAGTATCGATACTCAAATAAATTAGCTTAAGTTGGCTTAATTGAGATAACTATTTAAAATCAGTTTGCATAATTAAATATAATTTTTTTGGGTGGGCACAAATCTGAATAGTTTTAACCTAAACTTCTGTTTAACTGTTTAAAATAATTTTATACGTTTTTTAAAGAAATAACAATCAGTAGCGGGACTGCGATAAAAAGTATCGAATTTGAATTTACACATCTGTACTAGAAAAATCTTCGGGATCCGCCCTCTCTTTCTTGGTTATTTAAGAGCCTTCCATACTCCTCTCTAGAAGTAAATCTGAATTACTGTGCGAGTCTAGCCGGGTGATTTTTTCTGGTTGATGCTGATATAGACCTCTATTAGTAAGTAGTTTTAGCCAACTATTTTGTTTATGCATATTCGATAATATTGACACCATTTGTAGGTTTAAATTATTAACTAAGCTGGGACTTAATGTAGATCTACCCAGAGAGAATCTAGAGAAATCCTCGATACCGCATTTTACTTTTAACACACCGGTTTGTTATAATTATTATGATATTATCCATGTTTTAGTATAATCCACGTTTTAGTATAAATTAAATAAACTAATCGTTCTTTAATTTCACTTGACCTTAATAAAACACCGTTAAGATTTAAACTGGATGAAGTTTTTTAGTTGCGGATTGTTGCCGATTGAAATATGTCAGCTCTTATCTTGTTACAATGTAGATTCTAGATCTCTACATTAAATTGTTGGATCTAGAGAGATCTAGAAATCTAGATCTACAATCGAGATCTGTTGATATTCTAGATAGTAGTCTAGATCCATCAAGTTCAAATGGAATGTAATCTCTGTTTAAGCCCATGAATTAAGCAGTTATTTATTATTTAAGCTCTGGCTATTGCAGCTAATAATATAAATGTTCAGGAAGCTGGATTCATTTAGATTCTAGACTATATTAAAAAATATTTGTCTAGGAATAATTTATTTGGTCACTTGTATATATTCAATTGCATGTAATCTATATCTAAGACTTTTCTTTCCAGCACATACAAAATGAGTAAAGCACCTGCTGTTGGTATTGATTTGGGAACCACATACTCCTGTGTGGGTGTATTTCAACATGGCAAAGTTGAAATCATTGCTAATGACCAGGGCAACAGAACAACTCCAAGTTATGTTGCTTTTACAGACAATGAACGTCTTATAGGTGATGCTGCAAAGAACCAGGTAGCCATGAACCCAGAAAATACTGTATTCGGTATGTATTATTTTGTGCAATTGATTAACTTGCAGTAAACACTTAAGAAACATTTGTCAAATAGCCTATTTGGATGATTTTATTCAATTTCTTTTCAAATTTTTAGATGCCAAAAGATTGATAGGACGTCGTTTTGATGACCCAACTGTAGCTTCCGACATGAAACATTGGCCATTTACAGTATTAAATGAAGCAGGCAAGCCTAAGATCAGGGTTGAATACAAGGGTGAAAACAAAACTTTCTTCCCTGAAGAAATATCCTCAATGGTTCTTACAAAGATGAAGGAAACTGCTGAGGCATATTTAGGAAAGGTAAGTCAGAGACAAGTTTTAATAAAATGGTGATGATGAAATTTCTTATCCAACATTCGCGGTTTCCACCAGAAGAATTGCTTGTGTTCTGAAGATGGCATATTGTCCTTCCTTGGATGTCTGAACCATTGTTTAATAGATAATCTAGAATATGTAATGTTGTTTTTTTTTGTTTTTTTTTTTTTTTTAAATTTAATTTGTCCTTTGTTTTACATTCAGACTGTCACAGATGCTGTTGTTACTGTACCAGCCTATTTCAATGACTCTCAACGTCAAGCTACCAAAGATGCTGGAACTATTTCTGGTCTCAATGTACTTAGAATAATCAATGAGCCAACAGCTGCTGCCATTGCCTATGGTCTTGACAAGAAGGTAAGAGCATACTGCCTGTTTAACTGGTACTTGTCTTTGCCACAACTTCATTTTGCATTAACATTGTGCAGTTGGTCCATTTGTAATTTGAAATGCTTGTCCTCAGGTTGGCGGTGAACGCAATGTACTCATTTTTGACCTTGGAGGTGGCACCTTTGATGTTTCTATTCTTACAATTGAGGATGGCATTTTTGAGGTCAAGTCCACAGCTGGTGACACTCATTTAGGTGGTGAAGATTTTGATAACAGAATGGTCAATCACTTCATTCAGGAATTTAAGAGAAAACACAAGAAGGATATTAGTGAAAACAAGCGTGCAGTACGTCGTCTAAGAACAGCTTGTGAGAGGGCTAAGAGAACTTTATCATCATCTACTCAGGTGAGTTAATTTAAGTTGGAATTGCATGTCACATAAATTAAATAGGGTTGTAGCGTTGTTAATGTTAATTTTTATCTTTTATCAAAATACTAATAAAAATTGTTTCTTTCAGGCTAACATTGAAATAGACTCTCTGTTTGAGGGTATTGATTTCTACACCAGTATCACCCGTGCTCGCTTTGAGGAGTTGAATGCTGATCTATTCCGTGGCACCTTGGAACCTGTAGAAAAATCATTGCGCGATGCTAAACTTGATAAAGCTCAGATTCATGAAATTGTGCTTGTTGGAGGATCAACTCGTATTCCAAAGATCCAGAAACTATTGCAAGATTTCTTCAATGGCAAGGAACTGAACAAGAGCATTAATCCAGATGAAGCAGTTGCATATGGCGCAGGTATTTACTTAAATCAAGTCACTATAAAACCAGTTGTTGGCTAAGTTTGGTTTTTGATCTCTATCTTAGTAAAGCATGTAGCCTACACAGTCGTTGCACATGTGACTTTAAGTAAATGATGATTGTATTTCCCTTGTGTGAATTTACTTTTTTACTGGTGATTAATCATTTATTTTTGTTTTCTAGCTGTACAGGCTGCTATTCTACATGGTGACAAATCTGAAGAGGTGCAGGATCTTCTGTTGTTGGATGTTGCTCCTTTGTCACTTGGTATTGAAACTGCAGGAGGTGTGATGACTGCACTTATCAAGAGAAACACCACTATTCCTACAAAACAGACTCAGACATTCACTACTTATTCAGATAACCAACCTGGTGTGCTAATTCAGGTAATTACTGCTGAATATCTTTTATTTCATTCAATTTTTTGATTATGATGAAGTTTTATTCCATACATTCGCGGTTTCCACCAGAGGAATTGCTCTTGTTCCTAAGATGGCCAATTGCCCTTCCTTGGATGTCTGAATCATGACCTGCTAATTTATGATTAATTCATGATTTGTATACTGTGGTGTAAATGGTTCAATTGCTGTTTTCCAGGTTTATGAAGGTGAACGTGCAATGACAAAGGATAACAACTTGCTAGGCAAATTTGAACTGACAGGTATTCCACCAGCACCACGTGGTGTGCCCCAGATTGAAGTCACTTTTGACATTGATGCCAACGGTATTCTAAATGTATCTGCTGCTGACAAGAGCACTGGCAAAGAAAACAAAATTACCATCACCAATGACAAAGGTCGTCTGTCCAAAGAGGAAATTGAAAGAATGGTTAACGATGCTGAGAAATACAAGAATGAGGATGAAAAACAGAAAACTCGCATTTCAGCCAAGAATGCTTTGGAAAGTTACTCATTCCATATGAAGTCAACTGTTGAGGATGAAAAACTGAAGGACAAGATCAGTGCAGATGACAAGAAAATTATTATTGACAAGTGCAATGAGGTAAGGTGTAGTTTTTTCTTCTATGAGCATAGTTTTACCTATTGTTTTGTGGGGCAGTTTTAAGAAATTAACCTTAAATTTAATGTCATTGCAATTATTTTTTTCAGATCATTCACTGGCTTGATGCAAATCAGTTGGCTGATCAAGAGGAATTTGAGCATAAACAAAAAGAAATCGAAGGAGTTTGTAATCCAATCATCACCAAATTGTATCAAGGAATGGGAGGTGCTGGTGGCATGCCAGACTTCACTAGTGCTGCAGGTGCTGGTCATGGAGCATCCCAAGGTACAGGAGGCAGTGGACCAACCATTGAAGAAGTTGATTAATCTGTATAAAGACCTAGTCTACTTTATAGAACTTAGTTAAAAAACTTTTTGGCTATTTTGCTACGCTGAGCACTAATATCATCCAAAATTTTTACAACTATTTATTTCTATCAACACAATTTAGCTGTTATGTTGCAAATTTGTCATTAAAACATTTGTTTCTATACACTGTTTTGTACCATTTCTTGTCAAATGTACTAAGTGTTAAGGTTGTCATGTCTAATGATTTTATAAAAAGTAGGATTACTTGTGTTCAAGTCAAATTTCTTACTCTAGTGCTTTCTAAGCATAAAATATTGTTACATGGCAAATAGCCAGCTAGATCAATTGTCATTGATACTGGCTTGAGATTCTACTACATCGAATAATTTTCAATGGTAATAGCCAATTAAACAACCAGATCCTTCAGTCATCTAGAATTTGTAGAAAATTATGCGACTGATGTGAGAAATTGATTCAATAGCAGAACAGAATGAGTAGCTCAACACGATACATTAAAATTAATAACTGGAGACTTCTGCAGCGATGGCAGAGGCTATCTTTTAATGGAACACTTATAATAGTCTGAAAAGTTTGACTAATGACGTGTTGCAATGTCTCCAAGTTAGCGATAAAAAAATTTACGTGCATATTACCTGTATTATTATGTAAGGCAAAGTTCTGTTTTCTCCAAATCTGTCATGACAAACCATTATAGTGGAGTTTCACGTTTTTTACATGCAAGGCAAGTGTTATAGCTGTGTACTTGATATATTGTTTAAAGTTGTCATTTTTTGGTATTGAGGGTTTACAGGGTTTAAATATAAAATCATTAATTCCATATAATAGACCTTGTAAACTATACTGGTACCCAATTTGGCATCTGGAAGCCAAACTATGCTCTAGTCTAAACTACAGAGTTACTCTCAACACCGAAATTGTAAACTGTCACGGATTACACCACCCAATGCTACCCCCTTTGGCCATCCTGGGAATTAGTATTAGCATATTTTGACTACCCTTGGGTCTAATTTACAAAAAAAAAACTTATCTAGAGCCTCAAGCAAAGGAAATTGAATGGCTCATGGGCATGCTCTTGCCAAAAAGATACTTCATTTGCTGATCAAGTCACTTGCAAATTTACTGCAGGCTGCCTGCCTCATACTGCCAGTATCTCTGAAGAATCACAGCGGTGCTGAATTTCCCAAACATGTCTAATTCACATCCCAAATGCTTGTCATACTTAAGAGGCCTTTTTTCTAGGGATAAGTGTACCCATACAAAAAGTACCGAACACCAGAGGTAAGAAACACAACATGTGATGTAATTTTGGGATCTTTATTTAGTTAAAAAGAATACCACAGCTCCAAAATTAACTGATCATAAGTTAAACTGCAAAATAATAATTTAAATTCAGGCATATGAAAATAAAATGCAGGCCAACACTATTCACATCTGCTGGGTAGAGTTGCCATTCCATGTGTTGCCATCATCATCCTTATCGTCATCTTGGGAATTTCTGAACCTTGTGATGGGGCCTTCTTGTCTGGAACTTGATGAACTTGCTGGCCTTTTCTGTGCACTGGAAATGTACACATTTTAATTTAAAATATTAAATGATCTTAACTTTGGTTATTTATATTTTTACTTTCTTGAATACAGAATATAGCAACTACTGTAATCATGCACAAAAATCAAAATAGCTATTGACAGTTTTTGCTGTTATACTCCTCTTAACTGTGTCCTACAAAGTGTAGAGGACTTGTAATCATGCAAGAGTCTTACACCTCCCGAGTACTTAAGCAATCTTGTCCCACCTTTCTGTGTGAATGTTAACATGACTTGAGTTACATACGTTATCTTTGACTTGGATTACTTTATTTCTGATTTCTAAAATACTGATGACGCCTTGAATACTGTTTCAGTTAGGTGGATAAAATTTCATACATAGGTGTAAGTACTATAAGATCTAATTAACTGGTTTTTGTCAATTTTGTGTGATTTCTGGTGACCGGATGTAGAACCTAATGCTATTTCCAATATCTCAAAACCAAAAGATTAAATAATTTCATATTTGAGAAAGTTTAGGGGAGATTGCTCTCCGCTTTATTAGTTTCATTTTGTACATATTTTTCCCCTTACTTTTGTAGTATAAAGAATATGTAACAAATGTTTATCATAGGAAACAACTAAGTAAAGAAAATATAATAATAGAAAAATACTGCATACATATGTGAAAAATCAGAAAAACCAGAAGATGGTGCTCAACAGAGGTATGTATCTCATTTATATGTCACTCACCCCCCCCCCCCCCCATCACTAGGTACCAAACAATACTCCCCCCCCCCCATCACTAGGTACCAAACAATACTCCCCCCATCACAAGGTACCAAACAATACTCCCCCCATCACTAGGTACCAAACAATACTCCCCCCCCCCCATCACTAGGTACCAAACAATACTCCCCCCATCACAAGGTACCAAACAATCCTCCCCTGATCACAAGGTACCAAACAATACTCCCCCCATCACAAGGTACCAAACAATACTCCCCCCATCACTAGGTACCAAACAATACTCCCCCCATCACAAGGTACCAAACAATACTCCCCCCATCACTAGGTACCAAACAATACTCCCCCCATCACAAGGTACCAAACAATACTCCCCCCATCTCATGAGGTACCAAACAATACTCCCCCCATCACAAGGTACCAAACAATATCTCCCCCCATCTCATGAGGTACCAAACAATACTCCCCCCATCTCATGAGGTACCAAACAATAGTACCCCCCCCCCCCATATCACCAAACTTACTTGCGTTGGTTCCTCTCGCCCCCTGTAGCAGTAGACTGAAGTTGAACAGACATGTTTGGCCGCCTGGTTTGTGAGGAGAAACCAAAGATTGCAGACAGGAACTGCCAGATGTAGAAGAATGGTGCCAGGACAAAGCTGGACATCCTGCTGACACTCAGGAGGGGGCTTGAGCTTCTGACCTCAGAGGTTGAGATACCACCCTAGGGGAGAACAGTGGCTCAATTATGGCTTACAGTAATATGGTTTACAGAAACATGGTCAACAGCTTACAGTAATATGGTCAAACAGCTTACAGTAATATGGTCAAACAGCTTACAGTAATATGGTCAAACAGCTTACAGTAATTTGGTTTACAGTAATATGGTCAAACAGCTTACAGTAATATGGTCAGAAGTTTACAGTAATATGGTCAAACAGCTTAAAGTAATATGGTCAGAAGTTTACAGTAATATGGTCAGAAGTTTACAGTAATATGGTCAGAAGTTTACAGTAATTCGGTCAACAGCTTACAGTAATAATAAGGTCAAAGTTAGCAGTAAAATAGTCAATAGTTTACTTACAGGAATGACAAGTATGACAGCCAAGTTTACTTACAGGAATGACAAGTATGACAGCCAAGTTTACTTACAGGAATAACAAGTATGACAGCTGATGGTGCCAGCTGTAGTTCCTGTAAGGTCAAGTTGTGGTCATCTGGTGTGAATGTTCTTCTTGGAAAAGCCATTGAGAGGCTTACAGTAGTTCCCATATGCTAGGTGAAACAAAAATATAAGAGGTAGGGTTATGGAGAGGCTTACAGTAGTTCCCATATGCTAGGTGAAACAAAAATATAAGAGGTTGGGTGATTGAGAGGCTTACAGTAGTTCCCATATGCTAGGTGAAACAAAAATATAAGAGGTTGGGTGATTGAGAGGCTTACAGTAGTTCCCATATGCTAGGTGAAACAAAAATATAAGAGGTTGGGTGATTGAGAGGCTTACAGTAGTTCCCATATGCTAGGTGAAACAAAAATATAAGAGGTTGGGTGATTGAGAGGCTTACAGTAGTTCCCATATGCTAGGTGAAACAAAAATATAAGAGGTTGGGTGATTGAGAGGCTTACAGTAGTTCCCATATGCTAGGTGAAACAAAAATATAAGAGGTTGGGTGATTGAGAGGCTTACAGTAGTTCCCATATGCTAAGTTAGTGAATTAGAAACATGAAGTCCATTCTAAAAAAATATACTTCAAGCACAACATTCTCATAAATGAATGTACATGTTTGGGTTAACATATTATGTGGCTGATATAAGTCAAACATAAATTGCTTGAAATATAACATTGTATTTGCAAAATCCAGACAGAAGAATATATATGTTTCACAATGTGGCTGCTATTGTACTGTTATAATATTTTATAAGCATATGATTAATGAAATGAATAACTAAACATTTTAAAACTAACTAAATTTAAATAAAACTAACGCTAGTAGCTAGACTGTCTAGTGTGTGCCAATGGTCAGTGTGTGCCCATGGTCAGTGTGTGGCTGGACTTACCTGTGTGATAAACTGGTGCAGGGTGGCAAACCTTTCAGTTGCTGGGAACTGCTGGGTCACAGAGGAGCCATCAGGGAGGCGGAACTGTATCCTAGCTATATCACTGGGGTGAAGATATGGAACAATTTATATTCTAGCTATATTACTGGGGTGAAGATATGGAACAATTTATATTCTAGCTATATTACTGGGGTGAAGATATGGAACAATTTATATTCTAGCTATATTACTGGGGTGAAGATATGGAACAACTTTTATTCTAGCTATATCACTGGGGTGAAGATATGGAACAACTTGTATTCTAGCTATATCACTGGGGTGAAGATATGGAACAATTTATATTCTAGCTATATTACTGGGGTGAAGATATGGAACAACTTTTATTCTAGCTATATCACTGGGGTGAAGATATGGAACAATTTATATTCTAGGTATATCACTGGGGTGAAGATATGGAACAATTTATATTCTAGCTATATCACTGGGGTGAAGATATGGAACAATTTATATTCTAGCTATATCACTGGGGTGAAGATATGCAACAATTTATATCCTAGCTATATCACTGGGGTGAAGATATGGAACAATTTATATCCTAGCTATATCACTGGGGTGAAGATATGGAACAATTTATATCCTAGCTATATCACTGGGGTGAAGATATGGAAAAATTTATATTCTAGGTATATCACTGGGGTGAAGATATGGAACAATTTTTATCCTAGCTATATCACTGGGGTGAAGATATGGAACAATTTATATCCTAGCTATATCACTGGGGTGAAGATATGGAACAATTTATATCCTAGCTATATCACTGGGGTGAAGATATGGAACAATTTATATCCTAGCTATATCACTGGGGTGAAGATATGGAAAAATTTATATTTTAGGTATATCACTGAGGTGAAGATATAGAAAAATTATTATTCTAGGTATATCACTGAGGTGAAGATAAGCTACAATTACAACATTTGTAATCAAAGAGAGGCTGAACTTAAAAAGAACTTACAGCTTGAGACATGTGAACAAGACAAAAATATTCAAGAATCCTAACACAACAGCTTGATTATACTCAACATAAAAGTTTTAAAATAATTAAAAAGACAAAAATGAGAAAACATTTTGTTTTAACTTAAGACAATCCCAACCTTCTTCTGGCCTGTTCCATGGCTTCAGCTGCTTGTTTTTCTTTTAATTTTTTCTTCCTAGCTTCTTCCTCAGCCTGTGATTGGGCAGCTTTGTCCTTCCCAAATCTTGCAGCCTTCTCTTGTCTGGTTGTCCATCAATGGAAATACATTTTAAAATGGTGAACAAATTTAATTCAATAGACAAATGGTCATCAATGTAGTATAAATCACATTATTCGGTTACACAAAAAACATATTTGCAAGTATTTATCCGTTCATCTACACAATGTAAATGTTGAATTAAAAAATTATTTTTGCATGTCCCTCATCTTTCTCTATATCTTTATCTATCTTTACCTGTCTTTCTCTATTCCATCTTTACCCGTCTCTCTCTATCTCATCTTTACATGTCTCTCTCTATCCCATCTTTACCTGTCTTTCTCTATCCCATCTTTACCTGTCTCTCTCTATCCCATCTTTACCTGTCTCTCTCTATCTCACCTTCACCTGTCTCTCTCTATCCCATCTTTACCTGTCTCTCTCTATCCCATCTTTACCTGTCTCTCTCTATCCCATCTCTACCTGTCTCTCTCTATCCCATCTTTACCTGTCTCTCTCTATCCCATCTTTACCTGTCTCTCTATCCCATCTTTACCTGTCTTTCTCTATCCCACCATTACCTGTCTTTCTCTATCCCACCATTACCTGTCTCTCTATCCCATCTTTACCTGTCTCTCTATCCCATCTTTACCTGTCTCTCTCTATCCCATCTTTACCTGTCTCTCTCTATCCCATCTTTACCTGTCTCTCTCTATCCCATCTTTACCTGTCTCTCTCTATCCCATCTTTACCTGTCTCTCTCTATCCCATCTTTACCTGTCTCTCTCTATCCCATCTTTGAATGCTACCGTTCCCTGTCTCTCTCTATCCCATCTTTAATGCCACCATTACATGTCTCTCTATCCCATCTTTACCTGTCTCTCTCTATCTCATCTTTACCTGTCTTTCTATCCCATCTTTACCTGTCTCTCTCTATCCCATCTTTACCTGTCTCTCTATCCCATCTTTACCTGTCTCTCTCTATCCCATCTTTACCTGTCTTTCTCTATCCCATCTTTACCTGTCTCTCTCTATCCCATCTTTACCTGTCTCTCTCTATCCCATCTTTACCTGTCTCTCTCTATCCCATCTTTACCTGTCTCTCTATCCCATCTTTACCTGTCTTTCTCTATCCCACCATTACCTGTCTCTCTATCCCATCTTTACCTGTCTCTCTATCCCATCTTTACCTGTCTCTCTATCCCATCTTTACCTGTCTCTCTCTATCCCATCTTTACCTGTCTCTCTCTATCCCATCTTTACCTGTCTCTCTCTATCCCATCTTTACCTGTCTCTCTCTATCCCATCTTTGAATGCTACCGTTCCCTGTCTCTCTCTATCCCATCTTTAATGCCACCATTACATGTCTCTCTATCCCATCTTTACCTGTCTCTCTCTATCTCATCTTTACCTGTCTCTCTATCCCATCTTTACCTGTCTCTCTCTATCCCATCTTTACCTGTCTCTCTCTATCCCATCTTTACCTGTCTCTCTCTATCCCATCTTTACCTGTCTCTCTCTATCCCATCTTTACCTGTCTCTCTCTATCCCATCTTTACCTGTCTCTCTCTATCCCATCTTTACCTGTTTCTCTCTATCCCATCTTTACCTGTCTCTCTATCCCATCTATGCCTGTCTCTCTATCCCATCTTTACCTGTCTTTCTCTATCCCACCATTACCTGTCTCTCTATCCCATCTTTACCTGTCTCTCTATCCCATCTTTACCTGTCTCTCTATCCCATCTTTACCTGTCTCTCTCTATCCCATCTTTACCTGTCTCTCTCTATCCCATCTTTACCTGTCTCTCTCTATCCCATCTTTACCTGTCTCTCTCTATCCCATCTTTGAATGCTACCGTTCCCTGTCTCTCTCTATCCCATCTTTAATGCCACCATTACATGTCTCTCTATCCCATCTTTACCTGTCTCTCTCTATCTCATCTTTACCTGTCTCTCTATCACATCTTTACCTGTCTCTCTCTATCCCATCTTTACCTGTCTCTCTATCCCACCTTTACCTGTCTCTCTCTATCCCACCTTTACCTGTCTCTCCCTATCCCATCTTTACCTGTCTCTCTCTATCCCATCTTTACCTGTCTCTCTATCCCATCTTTACCTGTCTCTCTCTATCCCATCTTTACCTGTCTCCCTATCCCATCTTAACCTGTCTCGCTCTATCCCATCTTTACCTGTCTCTCTCTATCCCATCTTTACTTGTCTCTCTCTATCCCATCTTTATCTGTCTATCCCATCTTTACCTGTCTCTCTCTATCCCATCTTTACCTGTCTCTCTCTATCTCATCTTTGACTCTCTGTCTGGCCAACTTCTCTTCATCTCTGTCTTTCTTCAGTTCCTTCTTGGCCTCCAGAATCTCAACTTCTTTTTGTTTCTCCCTCAACTTCTGTACTCCCTGACCAACATTTCTCCTCTCTAATTCTCGTCTTCTCTCCTCCTTCAAAATCAAACAAGCTTTAAACATGTACTTTACTCATTTTAAAAAAAATACAGTAAACATTAAATGGTGTGGTTGAATGGTAGAGTGTTTGGCTGCTAGACCCAAGGTCTCAAGTTTGGATATTGGTTTGGACTAGTGAATGTATGACGTCAATGGAATGTCCCTGAGTTCACCCAGCTCTGACGGGTACCTAACGTATGTAGGGAAAAGTAAATACAGCTGGGCATAGTGCTGACCACACTATCTTTTCTAATGCCAAGGTCATAAACATATGAGCTTTACTTTATCTGCCCAATGGGTCGCTAGGTCTAAAGCGGAACTTTACTTACTAACTTATACATTTTAAACATTGAATGTACATTTTAGCTTTTCACTGATATAGCCACAAAAACCACTGAAGGGACCACCACAGTTACCTACCTCAGCCTCTTTTCTCATCTTTTCTCTTTTCTTTTCTTCCAACAACAATCTTGCTCTAAACACAATGGTTGTAAGTTTTGTTTTATATATATATATGTAATACAATCTTAATAGTTTAATGTTGTTTTTTTTTGTATAAAGCTAGCAATTAATTTTTAGAAGCTTTTCTTTAGTTCACAATAAAAAAAAACTTAATAATAATGAGCTTTTAAATGCACTGAAAATCATAATGATATTAAAACAAATTTGATTTATTTAGTAAAAACTTGGGTTTCTCATGAAATCGCTTACGTATTAAAGTGACAGATAGTTTTACTAAGGAAACCAAGTTTTTGTTTCATTTTTTCAAATTTTCAAAGCATTTAAATGCTAAACATTATCAAGGTTTTAACACACCTGATTCAGTCATCTCTACTACTATAAGCCTTCTCTTATTACTGTTGTTATCAATAAACTGAATTTAAGTGGCTAATTACATTTAAAAATAGATATTTTTGTTATCAATACAGAAACTTTGAAAGAAATGGCTCATTTAGAAATGGTTTGACATTAAGTGACAAGGTTTGATCACAAACAGACCAACAACCCTTTTGACCAAAGAGAAAGCTTGTAAAAATAAAAATGGCTTAAAATGAGGTACTATGAAAACAGCAAGAAACAAATATCTGAATGTGCCATACTTCTCCATCCTGGCCTCAAGACTTTCTGATGGACCTCCACTCTCTTCTCCTGTGTCATCTTCCCTCCCACCTGATGCACCTGCGACATCAGCCTCAACTGGTGAAAAAACATGTCACATTGATTCACATTGTACTACAGTCATATTGATAAACTATTGTTGGACAATTTATAAAATTAGTTTAAAAATTTTATGAATTTAAATTTATCTTAAAAAAGTGTTTCATGATTTGGTAAAAACTAAAAAGAAACAAAATATTTAATTATTAAGTTGTAAAAAATTTATTTTGTCTAAATGTTTCAATTCTATGGAAACAAATATTTAGGTAAAAAAAAAAAAATTTCTTTTAAGTAGCAAAGTAAAATAATTTGTTTGCTTTTATACTGAGTAACTACCAGCAGTTTGTATGGCACCCTTGACTTCCTGTGTTGGTGGTGATGCTTGGGACGTGGATTGCACTGGTTCACCCACAGACGCTGAAGATTTCTTCTGGAGCTTTTGTTGTCAAAACATGAAAAAATACATTATAAAAACATTAAACAATGTCTACAGAGCATCTTGAGAATTTAAAAGTATGTTTACATTTGTCTAATATTTCAGTTTATTTTAGCACTTTTCTCAAAAATTTGAAAATTGTAACAGTGTCTAATAAAAGAACAATGAAATGTAAACTAACAGAAGGAACTTTGAGGTATGACAATTATTACTTGTGTGTTGAGATATAATGTGTGCACTGTGTATTGATTTACTCAGTCCCCTGCTTAGTGCTTAACATGTCAAAATAAAAAATAAAATCTGATTTTTTGTCTTTCTTTGTCAGCCCATTTCAGGCTTTGTGTAAAATACTGCTGGGTTTTTCAATTAGTTAGTAAAATGTGTAATGGGTATTCATGAGAGAGAGGTAGTAATTACTAAACTGAAAAATTATAAGGGGGAAAGGAGGTTAATTGACAGAGGATTAATGTTCTTAACATTTTAGTTATTTAACAATGAAGCAAGTTATATTTCTGTTCAAATAATAATCCTCATAAATCACATTCACCATGTTTTAAAATGTGTTAGACAATGGTGTTAGGTAACAATGGAACAATTAAAAAAAAGACAAACTCTTACGTCTATGGCATTTTTAACTTTTGAAAGAAAATCCTCATGAGACTTGCACTCTCCAATCACCTCCAAAGGAACACCGGTGTCTCCAATAAAAAATGTAGAAGGGATAACAACAACAGGATCTGGTTAAAACTAAGTTAAAGGTCTTGACAGAAGTTGTTTTTTAAATATTTCAACTAGCAAAGATCTTGACAGAAATTGTTTTTTTTAATATTTCAACTAGCAAAGATCTTGACAGAAGTTGTTTTTTAAATATTTCAACTAGCAAAGATCTTGACAGAAGTTGTTTTTTAAATATTTCAACTAGCAAAGATCTTGACAGAAGTTGTTTTTTAAATATTTCAACTAGCAAAGATCTTGACAGAAATTGTTTTTTTTAATATTTCAACTAGCAAAGATCTTGACAGAAGTTGTTTTTTAAATATTTCAACTAGCAAAGATCTTGACAGAAGTTGTTTTTTAAATATTTCAACTAGCAAGTGCATCAGAGACAGTCACTCTTGACTGAGTGTTGACATTACCTCATGTTAAAAATGTTTACAAGAGTAAATCTACTGGCTCTCAATAGAAAAGGACATTATTTTAACTTGAAAAGCAAAGGATACATATCTGGGAAAAAAACTTTATCTCATTGCTGAAAATAAAAGTAAAACATTGCTTGAGTTAAATTAATACCAAAATTTTTTAATGCAGTCTTATCTTAAAATGTAGAGTATTGAAACTGGGGACTCCAGGATGTCACTGAGTCCACCCAGCTCTGATGGGTACCTGACACAGTGGGGAAAGTTATGGTGGATGGCATAACATCCCTTCATATGCTTAGGTCAAGAAACGTGAATTCCACTTCATATACCTTATGAATCATTAGGTCTTACAGAGTAACTATTCTTGTGCTGTATCATAATCAAATATATTCAAGTTATGGGGATGCTAAAGTGATAGCTTGCGAGTGTAAATGAATTATAGTTCAAGACACACCCATTAGATGTAAGTTTGATGGCAACACATCTGTTCTCCTCACACAGTTGTGTGACATCATCTTTGTGTAGGTAGGACTCCATTTCTTGGGATTTTTCATCTTCCCCTGAAAAAAACCCACAATTACAAAAGTAATTATTAGTTCATTATAAGACCTAATTAGCGTATACTAATTCCAGCAGCAAGACTTTATAGAATTTCAACAAACAATATATAAACATACAAGACTACCACTATGAGATATCAAACTTACCACAGATAAAAACAATAAATACAGACTTTTGAGCTTTGGCTGCCTGAATGGCACTGGGGATCCCCTCTTGAAACCACCTCATACTTGACAGTCTAGGAGGTGAGAAGTTTCTCAGTTCATTTAAATATACTCAACAATAAGTAGTTATAAAATTGTATGGATAATATATAAGTAAACAGCTTTGCTAAAGAATTTACCAGACCATGTTTAGAAAAGAAATATATGTGATAGACAACCAATTATTGAGTTTTGACAAAGTGAAATCAAAGACTTAAAAAAAAAACTTTATATAATTTATTTAGCTGTTTCTTATTGACAAAATCTCTAGTAGGCCTACTTGAAAAAATAATTTACAAAGCACAAGTATTTAAAATAAAGATTAATCTTCATTCAGAATTATTTTAATTTTCCCTAAATTAAAATTGATTTTGGTGTGTTTAAATTTAATTTGTAAATTTTTGTAAAGATGACTAAGCAAACAACCAGAAAGATACGAGGCAGACTGAATTTTTATATTACTAGGGCTGATACCCTTATGCTATGCACTTAGCAGAGTGATCACAGCCTGTCATTTAGGCCAGAGAGAGACAGTGACAGAGAGGCAGTGTGTCTGGCACAGGAGTTTTCTAAAGTCTATTAAAACAAAAGTTCTGTCAATTCAAACTGGCAATGCTAATGAGTCGGCTATGAAAGAAAAAACTTGAGAAATTTGCAATGGAAACATGACGACTATTCATAAGTGTTATTCTATCTTAATTTTAAAGTAGTAATTGAATAGCATTGTGACATACAAAAGTGATGCATACATATTTATTTAAAATAATTAGCCAACTTTTGAGTGCAAAAACATAATTATTAATTAATTCTGTAGCAGAAATGAATATAAACTTAAACTTTGAAATACTTTTCTTATAAATCTATGCCTAATAATATAGGCCGGGCAGTATATAACAATATAAAATAAATAGCATCACTCTCTAATTCAACCTCTTTCCCCAGATATGCTATTATAAAATTATATTGTAAGTCATTATTCCCAATCTTGTATGGCACAAAATGATACCCAACTGGGAATAGTCTCATCCATTAAATTATTAAGCATTGTCTAATCTAAATAATTAGGCTACACCAATTTCATTTGAGAAATCTCAAAAGAATGATTGGAGTACAAGTAGGTAGGCTATCCTAAAATGAATTTCATCCTGAGCATTTATAATTTTGAATTAATATTAATTATGGCCAAGGCTATTCCCAGCCGACTGAGAATAGCCCCAATACGGCTATTCCCAGTCGGCTGTCATTTCATGATAAAAACGACTGGGAATAATATCTTACAATAATAAAAGCATTAATTGTGACTGGTGAGTGAGGTATAGATTAAGAGAGAAGTGCTATTTTTATTTTGTTATATTTTTATTTAAAAAATTATGGTTTAAGTTTAGTTTAGCTTTTAGGCTCATATCAGACGTCTGCTACAGACTACGTGGGTCATAGAATAAGATGATCAATTATGCACTCTAATTAAATCTATACTAGACTAATAGATCTAGTAATTTTTAAATAAATAATATTATTTATGCATCAGTTTAGCTAGTTGTTCACTTTGCTATTCAACAGTCAATTACCATTTAAAATTCACATAGAATAAATATCAGGTGAAATAGCATGTCCTTTTTTTATCAGCTATCATTCAGTTTCCATTACACTTTTCCCAAATTGTTTTTTCTCTTAGCAAAATTCTAAGGGACAGCAGGTTTTTTTTTTTTGTTTTTTTTTGCAGAAATGCCAGCACTTGCTTCACAAATAGAAAAAAAAAATAAAACTAGGGAAAAAATATTTTGATTACAAGGGCATTAAGTGACAAAGTGTCACAAACGGATAAGGCCTCAGATGGGTTCGAAACGGCACCTACCGGCACGACAGCAACCCACATGTCCCCCAACCACACGTCTTCATGCCAATTTGGGTGTTTTTTACATTAAATTATGATTAAATAATAAATATAGAATCTATCAAAAACAGTCATGACTGTGAATAGCCCTAATAGTAATACAGCTATTAACAGCGTGAGCTGACTGGGAATAGACACTTCGATTAGTTATTTTAGAGTCAGTAGAGTTTCTCAGTTTATGAGTTTTTATGGCTATTATTTATTAGGTAATAATATTATTTAGGCTTGGCCTAATACAAATTTATGTATTTAGATGGCTAGTCTAGCTAGAGTAAGAATTTATATTCTAGATCTAGCAGAGCCGGCGTTAGGGGTACGCGGGGCCTATGGCCAACCATCCGCGCGGGGCCTTATATTTTTTTCATTGGTGTATAATTAAAACATGTACAGTGAGGCGTTTTTTTTTTCTTCTCAACGCGAATTAATATTTATAACGATATATATGGTATTTTTAAGCTGCTTATCAATGTCGTATTAACATTAAGACACTGATTAACAAACAATTTGTTTACTTAGAAGTGCTTTTGAAACGTTGCTTGTTTCTGTTAAGGCTTTTTGTTTGAAAAGTAAAAAATAAAACAGATATAAGTTTGAGACACGCATTAAAGAGACGTGGATGCCGGGGAAAATAGCAAAACATTGATAGATTTTGGAATAAGCTCGAATCGTGAAAAACACTGTTTACGGCTATAGATATCCAAATGAAATCACTCTCAAATGTAATCACGGACGCTCAGTAGGGTGGAACACTGGGGTGGGTGGCAGTTGGTGGGGTGATGTGAAGGATAACTGTACATATAAATCTATGGGATGCCAAACCCTAAAAAAAATCAGTTCGGGTACTACGTTACTGGATCTCTGACCGCAGCCATTCAAGAGAAGGTGCATGTTTATAGAGCGTCTGCGTATTACATTACAGTTTAAGACCGCGTTCTCACAAGGTCCGTGTCTATAATTAGAAAGTGAACCATGTGACAGCCAGCTTCATCTTATTAATGAGTTTCGCGACGGCATGCTCGGACTGCCGGTAATTTAGACGTTTTAGAAATCAGGAGAACTTTACCATAAAACAGTCTCGGCCCGATGTATCAAACACTATAGACTTTATAATTTGTTTAGTGTGCCTACACTATTTTAAAACAAGAATCACTATGGCCTTAACTATTATACTGAATATCCCTACAATTAATTAAAATAAACATGTGCTTAATCACTTTACGAATACGGTTAAAGTTTACCAAAATGAAAATGGACATAATTACTGTATAAATGCCCTTCAAAAATATAAAAATAAATACAAGTATAATGTATTTAAAGATGACCTGACAATATATAAAATGAATATGAACATAATTACTGCATGGATGCCTATCAAACGTATCGTGGTGAATAAGCACAAAAGATGCCCATACAGTGTATAAATTATGATTTTAGGGATAAATACTCTGGATTTCCGGAGCATGTCCCCATCCGCTCTCTCCCCCTCCCCCCCCCCCCTCCTCTGCAAGCCATCATCAGGTCACTGACTGTTTACTACAGGCACCCCCGCCTGCTCACTAAAAAAACGTCTTCAACAGTCCGCATACAATAGGGTATCTCTTTACGTGTTTTTCCCGATTTTACCTCCCATGTCAGGTTGGGGGCTAATTCGCGACCACCATCTCCAGTCACCTCAGGACAATAGCGAGTCGACCGTGTCAGCGATGTGTGACACTAATGTCTTTCTTTAGAATAACGGTCTGTCCCAGTCCATGTAGAGGATAACTCGCTAACATCAGCCGTGGCCTCAATTTTAACATCCAACAACTTCGGCCATTTAGTTGTTTTTTTTTTTAAATTTAATTCAGCAAAGATTATTTAAGTTTACAAACTAATTCAGACAACAATGGCGGTGCTGAAGCGCGGGGCCCCTTCAAGCGCGGGGCCTGGGGCGACCGCCCCGTTTGCCACCCCCTAACGCCGGCTCTGAGATCTAGAGCTAAAATGCTCTTATCTGTGTCTAATTCTAAAATATTCTAAATCTAGAATTTATTATTATTAGGGCCTATTATTTTAATTTTTAATACTTTGACTTGTTTGTTGTGCGTGCAAGGTAGGAGGAATCGCTTCATTTTATAAAAATTTAATTTCACACTGTTATTACATTTTAAGACCGACGTTGGAATCTCTAGATATAGATAAGTGTAATCCGTCTTCGGTTCAAATATATAAGTAGATTCTTGATTGGTTATAAAAATAATCCTAGGACTTAGTCTTAGTACCTAGATCTAGAATCTAGATCAGCTTACATATACTAGTGTACTTGTCAGTACGACGGGACCAAAACAATGACGCGACATTATCGATTATGAAGCATCTACTTTGTACTCTTTAAAAAAAACTTGAATTAAGAACCGAATAAATACATTTATATCTAGATCTAGATATTTTTAACCTTCATTTTTATTTTTCAAATTTGAGGTTTTATGATTTTGCAGATTTTAAATCAAAAGTTTTATCGAGTGTGTTAGGTTAGTGTTCATACAATAGAGATCTACATTGATAGTTTTTTCCAGGCATTCATTTTGTACATTGGGGGGGGGGGGGGGGGGGGGGGGGGTGGGAAGGGGGGGGGGGGGGTGAGCACTTGAAATGGGGGGGAGGGGGGGGGGGCAAACACTGGTAAAAGCATAAAATAGTTAATATTCAGTGGTTTTTGAAATAGATTCTCTTCAAGATTTAGTGGATTTAAATTACATTATCTCTTTCTTAATTTAAATTATCCTACTGTAACTACTTAATTAAATAATAAATAGACTGAATATTACTATCTCGCCCCCACCCAGAGGCGTAGCAAGAGGGGGGGGGTGCGGACCGCACTGGGTGACACCATTTAGGGGGGTGACACCAAGGCAAAAAATAGCAAAATATATAGAGAAAAATTATAATTCCACTTAATTAAGTGATCAATTTGAGTGTTAAATAGTCTTTTAAGAGGAGCAAATCAAAAGTTTGAGGGGGGGGGGAGGCAAATCGAAAGTTTGTCCCCGGGAAGGGTCGCTACACCTCTAGAGGGTGACACCATTAAGTGCCGCACCGGGTGACACCCGACCTCGCTAAGCCACTACCCCCACCCAAACCTGTGCATTAATCAATCATCAACTGAAATCTTAATGATTGTCTTAGTAGACTGTAAAAGCTTTGACATGACAATAATGACCACAACAAAGAATCACCATACAGTGAGGTACTTGTAGCCTAGATGAGTGTCTGAAACCATGTTTACACTCCCACGTGTGTAGTATACATGTCTAGGAAAGAAAAAACAACTGCCAGAAGTTAATTTTATAGGAAAACAATTTTTCCCACAGCACATGTATACTTACTAGCTGCTAGTTTTTTTTCTAGCCATTTAAAGTATACACCTCCCACCCGTAAACATGTTTAACTCACACCCTAAAGACAAAACTCACTAACCATTTTACCTACAGAACAGCTAAAGTAGGAGATAATTTCTTGGTACTTCAGGATGATTTATTACACACTGACTCAAGTCTTAACTATTAACCACTAATAAAGACAACAAAGCAGCATAAAGAATTCAGTTAAAAAGAAAGTAAAAAAAAAAAACAACAAAAAAAAAAGCCAGTAAAGATTTCAGTTTATTTTGTGATGTAACCACATAAAAAATTACAACAAAATCACACAAATAAAACAATAGCGTTCCAAATTTTCTGCTGAAAAAAAAAACATCTTTGTTGTTTTTGATGCAAATAGGATAATTTATTACAAATAAGTGCATATTAGATATTGGAAGGAACTAATGTTATAACAAAGAACACCAAAGCTGAATTACGAAAAAATCTTTCAAATGACTTTTCAGTGCCTCATAATATTGACTTCCCAAAACATTTTAACTTACTCAGTCTTACATAGTTTCAAAGACTTTAAAAAAATTCTTAACATGTTGAGTAGTTTGTTTAGCAAAACAAAAAATCATTGATTTACTGTGGGTTCTTTATTGCTAGTCTAAGCTTACACTTGACTTATACCTTTCCTACCAAACGCATAAGAATTGTAGATAAATGTTACAGTCAACAAATTAGCTTTCAAGTCTAAAATCTCTGGCCATGTTAAAAAACTACTTTTCCTCCACTAGAACAGTGACTGTAGTAAAATGATGAGACTTCAATTATACTACTGCAATTTTTCTGAGTATAGCACTTTATCATCATGTCTTTACCAAAATGTGATGTTTTAAAACTATATGTCCTCTACACCTAGAAGGCAAACCACAATAAAATCTGTTAAAATATTGAGATTGTACAAACCATAACCCCTGCATTAGAGATTATGATAAACAGTCCAAACATTTCTTAGAGAAAATGATTATTGCCTAACTAGACTTGATCTGCATATCTTAATACACACTCAACTCTCCCCTGAGGCTGTCTGTAATGCCAATCAACAATTTACGGCAAATACCAAAACTTTTATTAATGACCGCAAACACTAAGGATACAACAACAAAGTAGAAAATAAAATAGCTAAGAGCTACAGAGGAATAAAAACCCATAGAATATCTATAACAAGATAAGAAACCAACAACCATGGTACATCTAAGACACTAAATAATGCTAAAATACAATACCACAACTACATCAAGAACTAGTAAAAAAATCTAGTAAGAAATGTTTTCTTTACAGAAAACAAAGGCTATATGCCCATAGCTACAATCAGAAATGCTACAACTAAAATTCATTCAGGAAATATTACATACAAATACAGTAACCAACAGCATCTAACAATCGTAGGACTAAAACCAGTTTTTTCCCCATCAAATTTGTTGCTATTTTCTGCCCGCGCGATACATTTTTTAAAACACAAACTAAAATATGAACAAGTACTGGTAATAGTTATGTAGTCACCTTAGTGAGGATAAATATTTAAAAAATACTTCATTAAAACATGTCAATTTTGATCAATTTTTTAGTATTATCACAGAAATGACAATAAAATATACATATATATATATATTGATTTATTTATTGATATACATAGATCTATTTAGTGTGAAAAACAACACCAACCCTGGAGAGCTCATGTAATAGAAGTCTCTGATTTAACATCTACATCAACTCCCAATGATACTCTATAGAAGGATACAAATACACATTAGTGGCTACCACTAAGGTCAGCTGCCCGCTAGACGCCAGATAAAACAGGACACAAACAAAATGGTCCCCTCCACCACCAGACTGGTGGGTAGTACATACACATACTGCAGGTCTAGTCGTACAAGACAACAGCAAGAGCTAGTACATACACGTAGTACAACACATACTTGCAGGTCTAGTCGTACGAGACAACAGCAAGACCTAGTACATACAGCTTCAAGTTTGATTGTCTACAAGTAATCTACATTACTCTCTTAATAATAGAATCCTAAGTCACTATACCACAAGCTACACTATAAATAGCAACCACTGCATTTACAAAGAAAAGTTGATCAAGATAATAAAAACATATTTTTAAAAAAAAAGAAATATTTACACAATTGTATTAAAATAATTTCTTGGCTTTGCAAACTTACATTTCTAGAAACTAGTTAGTTAATGAATAAATAAATCCAAATAATTTATTTCCTAAAATGAAGTTTTATAGCTTGCATTACACAACGTCACTTTTGAAATCCACCAAATAGAGTAAGCTCTTAAAATAAGTTCAATAAAATTAAGGTTTTTGGCTGAATAAATGTGCTTATATTGAGTTTGTATACTCTTTTCTATAAGTTGATATTGATATTTCAAGTTTGATCTGCACCAGTATATTGGCTGATTGTGAAAGCAGCTACTTGAGTAATGCACATGATTCTCTATTGATATTAAATTCACTGGGTTTAATTTTTTTAAATACCAATCGAAATGGCAGCAATATTTAATTGGTTTGACTGACTGTTGTATTTAGGCCTAATAAATTTCTATTATTATAAATCTTATAAAATAAAACATAACCCAATGTGAAAAATAATGGTAAGATGTAAAAGTCATAAACTACTATTGACAGAAGAACAATGAGACTTTGTGCATTTCAAATGCTTATTACTGATACTAAATTTAACAAGCATTTAGGTTCAAAAGACTCAATTTCTTTTATATCTTTTCATTTTAAGTTATATATTTTTAAATTGAATATAAAAAACATTTAGGACTACTAAAAATTTTCATGAATGTAATTCTTTGAATTTTCATCAATATATATTTTAACTTTTATCAAAATGTATTATATTTTATCAAGAAAAATCTTATTTTACAAATATTTATTTCACAAAATAATTACATTTTCGTGCCTCAAGATCTAACAATTTTTTTGGATGAAAATACTTTAAATGTTGAATTCATTTCTTATTTAACAATTGTCGTAACTAATTTACTAAATTAACAATGTAGATAACAGTTTCACTAAATGAAAATTTATAAGAATGTATGTAAGTCCTTTTACTAAATATAAAGACTACATCACTACCTATAACTACTTTCTTGCATAGTCAAATAGTCAAAGGAAAATATTTTTTAATGGGTTACAGTTACTAGAAATTAAAATAGCATTCTGGGTAAAAAAAATATTTTGAAAATGCAGATTTTGTATGAATCTAATAAAAAACAAACACAAGAAGAAAACAAAATGACTACCAGCCACCACCACAAAAGTGGGCGTGATAACAAAATGTGAGATCATTCCAATATTAAAACTCTCGTCAAAAAACCACACATTTTTCTAAACTATTTTTCATCAACACTAGGTCGCATTGTTGGGGTAGAGCAAAATATAAAGGGTAAGTTCACACAATCAAATGAAAAAAACATTTCCTTTGTAGAGAAATGGAGAAAAAAAAAACAATTTTATATCATATATCAGTTAGAGTCAGATCAGTGTATACAGGAATATAAATATAAACATGTTTATTTTTATTTTGCACATAAAATTTAGATTTTTATACCTCTGAATGGAAATATCTTTCTTTCTATAAATTGTAAATATAAAGGTTAACAAAAACATAAAACATTATCTAAAAGCATTTGTTGGTTTTAATTATTTTTACATTTACATTTAGGGGTAGAGAAAAATGTAAGTTTTAAACTGTCTTTAGTTTAAGCTGAGTGTTTTGGCAATCTTAAAATTAGACCTTTAAAAAACGTGTGAAAGGTCATACCCTTAATGTATATTTCCAAGTGAATCAGGGGAAATAACTCTTCAAAGCCCTGAAGGCAACACACTGAACAATATACTAACTTCACTGTGTAGACAACAGGATATAAAAGTTTTCAAGTCTTAGAAAAGAGAGGATGATGATAAAACCTGTGTGCATAATGTTTACTAAGACAGGGGAAGACATAAGCTATTTAATCACAATCTTTTTTTTAAACAGAATTTGATCATATAAAATATTTTATTTTCCCAAATTACAGCTAGATCAACTAACTAATGGCCATTTATCTCATCAACAGATGAATTGTAGGAAAATATATTTCAAACATATTTCAAATTTTTAAAAACATTTCTTTAATGTATATAAGGTTAGAAAGTTTGGAGAATAAAAAATAGACACACCTCTGGATTATGTCTAAGTAGGTCAAATATAGACAGGGGCAAAGTTGACATTTTGATCTGTATCTCCAGCTGAATCTCTGAATACATAGTAGAGAAAGTTTATTTCCAAAATTAAAATTTAAAACATTTATTCAGCAAGCAAGTTTAATTCCTAAACTTAAAAATGAAATTATCGTTTTTTTCAAGATTACTTTAACAAACTAAATTGCTGGGTGCCTATAAGCATCGTTCTTAAAATCAACCAGCAACACTGATACAATGTTTTAGTAATACTTCATCATCACAGGTACTTAATAACAAGCAAACAATTTCACAAAACAAATGGAGACCTTGATCCATAGAGAAACAAATGGCAAGAACCAAAATCAGGGAGCGCCACAGTGAACATTGAGCAAACTTAAGCTAGAATAAGAATGCTTTCCTCAGTGATTCAACATGAAATCATTACAAAAGTTAAGGAAAAATTAGGCACAAGGCATGGTTAACATTTTTTGTACCACTATTGTCTGTTTACAGGGACACCACCCAAATGACGAACTTTTCAGTTCGTTATTTATTAAACTAGTTTTTAAAAATCTAGGTAATCTATCGTTTTAGGTATGTAAAATCGCCCACGGCTAGTAATGTACGAAAAAGTTACCTCATTGTCAAGGCTTTAATAGAAGTATATTGTGATATATTTGTGTCAAATATTATAGATCAATGAATAATAAACCTAAATCAATGGCTAAATATATCAATATAGGCAAGAAATTAACTTTAAACAGAAGTGTTTGCGAGCAGGATTTGCTATATAAAAAGCGGCCATCTGTAAGTTAGAGTGGCTTCCCCTAAATCTTGCGCTATAAGTTAACAATAAAAAGAAATAAACAAGATGGCTGCTATAGTAAATGAGCATGGTTGCATCTGTTGGAAACATCGCTAGTCTTCATTTATTACTGAAAAGTTTTAATTCAATTGTTTAAAAACAGGTACATAAATGAAACAAGGAAATATTTTTGTATTTTTCAAAACATAAATCCTCCCAAAAATGTGAAATAATTATTAAAATTTAAGGAATCACCTGTTTTTCACATTACTAGTCGCGGGCGATTTTACCTACCTAAAACGATAGATTACCAAAATCTATCAAATGTAATACAAGTAAAAAAAAACATACACACATTTAAAATAAACGTTAAAAATACTTTGTACTTTTAAGTGAGAAAAAAAATTAATGGCATAATTTTTAAATAAATAGATATTACTAAATTACATACTTTGTATAGCACTTCACAAATTCTATTTCAATTTCAGTATTATAGAACAACAAAATGAAAGTTTACAGTCTACATCTAGATTCCAATGACTAATCTATTCTTCCACCATGGACCTGAAACATTGTTTAATATATCGAAATGGTATGAATGTGCACAATATAAGTAAACTACGTCCTGACAATGGACTAAAAAGTAGTGAAAAAAAAACTGAAGAGAGCATGATCAGTATGAAAGTTATTACCCACATAGAACACCATTGTGCAGAAAGACAACGTGTGTGAATTAGTTAGCAAGCATGACAACACTTTGAGCAGGTTATATACACACAGAGACTCAGGGCTAAAGCATCCTTGACAATACTGTTCAAACATCTCATTTGTAGTTTTAATAATAATTAGAACCCCACAAACTTCGGACCAATTGTTTTGTCATCCTAGTTATAAAATACAGATATATATAAAGCTGAAGATTGAGCAAAAATGTTTTTTTCTCTTTCTAAAAGTTGTGTTTATTGTTCAAAAGTTGTGCACTTATTTTTTTTAACATTGACAAAATATATTAGGTGCAAAAAAATAATTTTGAAAAACATTTAAAAAAATTTGTAACTAATACTTTAAAAAAAAAAAAGTAATTTAGTTTTTCAGAACCAATCAACTAATTGTTCGTTGTGGTGAGAGGTCAGACTAATTAAGGGTTTGCGACCAACAAAAGGTAGTTGTTGAATTTATAATAATTTATAAAATTGCACTTTTTTAAGTTAAATGAAAAAAAAAATTTGGCATCATTAGTTTAAATAGAAAATAAAAACTTGATTACAAATTTTCTAAAGCTTTACAACTATTCCACTTTAATATCATGATTAAAATTAGGATTATCTTCTAGCTACTTAAAGTATGAGCTATTAACTACTTAGATTAATGAGTTGGCTTTAATCTATCTTGATGAAAGCATAAACTACTACGTAGAATGACTAAGAGTAAAAAAAACCTGCTACTTTAGTTTTCAAACTTGTATTGTATTGTCAGAAATGTAGTCCAGCAAAGTGTGAACCTTACAATATTTGATGAGATGAAAACTATGATCTCTACGAAATAACGTATTAACAATGGGAGCAAGCTTGTATTCTACAAGATCAAAGCTATTTTGTCATGTGACTTAAATAGACTCAATGTACACTAGGAACATTTAGATCCTACCATGCAGCAAAATTCTAGCATAATCTCTTGTTTTGAGATAGAGAGTTAAACAAACAGCAAAACACTTTATGAAAAGTATCCAGTTTAGATTTAAAAATAAATTGCACAGAAGCCAAAATAAATAGTTGAAGCTTGAGAGCTAAACACCAAAACAGAACAAATGAACAACTAGGAATTTAGATGACTTTGTACTGCTATCACAGATCAAAAGACAAGTTCTAATGATGGTACATCACAGAATAAGTTACATTAAAGCTGTCAGTTCTCTACAACCTGGGCCATGACTATGTCAAACACAGCTAAACAACAAAAGCCAATCACAAGTGTGAGATCAGAGTTCTGATATTTGTAACATCAAATAAATATCACCACAAGTATGTTTCTTGTAACATGGGAATAAGGAGAAGTAAACAAAATTTAAACATTTACAATCTTCAACTAGATCAGGTGCACATTTCTCTAAATCAATCAAATTTCTTGAACACATTCAACACTGTAATGATAAATATTTTTTTCCTGCTAATTTACAATCAGGTTTGACAAAATATATTTAGTTAAAACTCTCCTTAATAGGCTGCAATTTAATCAATGATGATGATTTGTGAGTCGACTGTCCAAATGTTATAGTATATTTGTATTATTCACAACCCCTTCGTACCAAAAATATCTACTTAGAAAAAATATGGTTGTTAAAAAGCATTCAAATGCGCATGATCATGCATATTAAAACTTTTTGAACATGAGACCATTATGACATGATATGTACAGAATTGTGACTTAATACGGGCAAAAATGTAGTGAATTTTTTTCACCATCACAACTGAATAGATTCTTTCCACAAATAAAACATAAAAGAAAGGTATTCAATTTTATTCTTGTGCATTAACACAGGTAAAAATGTAACATTGTAAACCAACACACAGTAAAAGGTTATATCTGGCATTCTAAACTCTGACGTTAAAAATAATTTTTACCTTATTCTAGAACACACTTTGTAAACAAGCACTGTACTGTAAGCATTCTAATCCCAACAAGACTATTCCAGCCTTTTTTTGGTCAACAAGCACAGTACTGTAAGCATTCTAATCCCAACAAGACTATTCCAGCCTAAAAACAGCAACTACTGAACAACAGAGCAGAGGAATGCGGAGGGTAATCTACTCAACACACAAGTTTTACTTGACTGTGTTAGTAGAGATTCAAGCTCAGGAGAAATATTCTCAACTGGATAATCTATTTTAAAAGTCAGTCTTTGTGGACAAATGGTTTAACTAAGGTAACAACTTCAAACGTATAGAATTACTCTACTGTAAAAAAGTTCTTTGCAAAAAAAAAATATATATATATATATATATGTATAGTTAATTTATCAATTATCCTGTTAACAGCACCAATATAAAACATCAAAGAGAAGATAACTGAAAAAACACCTATAGCCATAAAAAGTAAGAATTATCAAACAGCAAAAACTCCTACTCGTTTATTTCAACAAGAGAATTTAAAACTAAATGTTCACATTCTATATTGTCTAAAAGGTTTTTAGAAAACAAACTACATTAAAAAGTCACAAGTATTTATAAAAATATAAGTACTATCAAAACAAATGTACTATACGGAAGTGCAACTTCTAAACCTGGGTAAAATATGAAGTGTTAACATTGGAATGTCTAGAAACTTAAAGTAGAAAAAAAAATACATTGTAAAACTTCACTTGTGATTATATATATATCCAATTATATATAAAACATGTGATTAGAAGCAATAAATACTTGCATGAGACAGTACACATAACACAGTGTTTTCTTTAGTTAACATTTCATACACTGCAATGCTAGACTTTACAAGTAGAACACTCTAAGTTTCTAAATAACTAACTATCAAAACTTTGTACCTCTAAAATGTCTGTATCACAAATTTAAAAAGCAAACAAGCATGGAAATTTTAATGTACACTTGTCATTATCTCTCATCATCATCACGTTTCACGTTTTCTTGGATTGCTGTATCCAGGTCTTCAGTTTCTTCTGTTTTCTCTGTACCCGTTTCATCAGGGTCCAACTGTTGAACTGATGTGGGCTCCACCTCACAGACTGGCCCAGCTGTCTTATCATCTAAGGAAGGCTCCGCTGTCCTGACATCTGAGGAAGGGTCAGTTATTTCTTGTTTGCTGACTGAGTCTTCCAATACAGGGCTCATCTCTGAAGGAGATTTCAGGTAGGGGCTGATGTCCAAGCTGGCATCAAACTCTGGCTCCTGTAAGATCTTTGGGTTCCCTTTGTCTGCCATTTGTAGCGCCACCCACTGGGCAGTTCGTGCCAGACGAGTGTGGCAGGACAGGTTGGCGATGCTCACAGCCAGCGCTGTTACATCTGAAAGACAGGTTCATGAGTATTTTAATGTTACATCTGAAAGACAGGTACATGAGTATTTTAATGTTACATCTGAAAGACAGGTGCATGAGTATTTTAATGTTACATCTGAAAGACAGGTACATGAGTATTTTAATGTTACATCTGAAAGACAGGTTCATGAGTATTTTAATGTTACATCTGAAAGACAGGTTCATGAGTATTTTAATGTTACATCTGAAAGACAGATTCATGAGTATTTTAATTAGGTTTCATCTAGTTTTGACATATATATATATAGCAACCACTTATAGTGTAAAGCACTAACAACACAGCCCCTTCTAAAACCAATATACAGTAAAACACCACCTGTGACAAACACAATGTTGTACTTTGGTTTTATTGGGCCTGGATACAGTTATCTTATTATCAGTCCATTAGATTTGATTGATGTCTGATACAAATGGAGGTTTGGTTTACAATTCACAAAAGTCAATTTTTATGACCAATTTGGTTTTCAATTCTTCACCTAATTCCTATTTATAGTATATTGCAGCAACAGTAATTCAATGGTACAAAAAATATTTGAAAGATATTTTAAACAAATGTGTAATACAAATATAGGCCTACAGATCAAAAGCTTCAAAGCAATTATTAAATTTTTCGTAGGTGAATCAAAATAAACATCATCAACAGTTGAGATAATGAGAACAACAGGTGAGATAATAAAAACAAAACAATGGCCACAGGTAAGATAATGAAAAGAACAGCAATAGGAGAGATAATGAACAGAACTGCAACAGGTAAGATAATGAGGACAGGTGAGATAATGGAAAGTACAGCAACAGGTAAGATAATGAAAACAACAGCAACAGGTGAGATAATGAAAAGAACAGCAACAGGTGAGATAATAAACAGAACAGCATGAGACAGGAGAGTGAGAGCAAGCTGCACCTCTATCATCCGGCTGTCTGGGTACTCCAGCCCTCTGCCTGTTGGCTGAGTTGACTATCTCGTCCTTCCTGCTGGACTGGACCTTCTTGATGCTCTCCAGCCACTCGTTCATGGTAGCGTGCACCTTGGGGTGGACACTCAGTGACCGCAGCTTCTCCATCTTCTCAATCAGGGTAATGATCTAGTTAATTAACAAAATAATTAGCAGGGGCTAAAGACTTCATCTTCTCATTGAGGGTAATGATCTAGTTAATTAACAGAAATATTAGCAGGGCTAAAATCTCCCAGCTTCTCAATGAGTGTAATGATCTATTTAATTAACAAAAAATTTTTGAATGTATTCTTCTATACATCCTTTACAAAATATGCATTTAAAAACAAGCTACTACATAAAATTACAGAAGAAGTGCGTAGTTATAAAAAAAAGTTAAAAAACTTTTATCTCAAACTGTTGATTAATACCAAACTGCACTCAAGAATCTAGACACATAGTGCATGTTTACTGATGTAGTAAAAACATGTCCTTAAAACCATTGAAATGAACTGTACACTTAATGGACGTTTATTGATGTAGAAAAACCAATAAAATAAACTACAAAAAAGCTGAAAGTATGTTACCCTGGCGTGTTCACGAAATGAATCCACAATCAGTCTGTCCACACGAGAGGGGCTGTTGGGTAGCCTGGGTATGGGTATAGCGTTGGTGCTGGACACTTTCTTGCCTGGGTTCTGTCTGGCTAGCTCTGCTTCAGTCTGAGGAGTCAATAGATATGTAGTAGGACATGCAATGGACATTCTAATAATCGACATGTAAATGACATTCTAGAAATTGGCATACAAATGATATTTTTTAAAAGTTTACTATTGACAATCTTGTTATTAATGGAATAAGTTTATTAACAGACAAATATAAATGACTGTTTAAAATTTTCTGTTACATAGGTAATGTTCAGGATTGGTAGGAAATAATTTTTTTCTTTAATATTAATGCTGTTTTTTTATTTTATTGTAAAGCTCTAAACTACAATGGCAAACTGTTGACACATACTTTTTTTCTTTCCTTTTCTATAGCTTTGAACTGTTCATAACACTCCTCCAGCCGGCTGTGCAATTCATTTGATGGTCCACTTCTGAAATAAGTTTTACAATACACATACAATATATAGGCTCTATTTTATTTGAATATAACAATAAAAATAAAAAAAGATATCCTAACAACCTACTGAACTCTGTCCAGAATATTGATTTAAAACCTGACCTGAAATGTCTGAAGTTGGGCACAAACGGGTGGACCCCTAGCAAAGGAAAGCTGGATGAGTCATACATCAGGTCGCCCATGTAGGGGGATGTCAGGTGGGTCAGGTGGTCCAGTGGGATAAAGTCAACGCTGTCTCGTCTCAGCCCGGCCTGGTGTACGGCAGCATTCATCAGTAGGGCGGCAGCTGCTGGGTGCATGGAGTTGAGTACAGGCCCATGGGCACCTAGGCCAGCCTGGTAGCCTAGATACAAGCAAAAATAGATTGGTTACAGGCATATGGCAGCATTCATCAGTAGGGCGGCAGCTGCTGGGTGCATGGAGTTGAGTACAGGCCCATGGGCACCTAGGCCAGCCTGGTAGCCTTTAGATATAAACAAAAATAGATTGGTTACAGGTGTAGTTCCATGGGCACTTAGAGAAGTTATGGATTCTATTCATTATTTTGATTTTTTTTTAAAAATGAATAAAATCTAAATCTAGGCCAAATTGTATTAACATTATTTTTTGTTATGATAGGAGCAACAGTCAATGGGCGATTAGAGAGAAAAAAATAATGTAACAATACAGAGCCCAATAAGTGACAATTATTCATGTTATTGAAATAGCCCACTAAATATTTGATACAATGTGCGTCCAATTAAATTGCAACACATCCTTTTTGTAGCACTTGTAGGGCCAACTTTTTGTGGGTAAAATAAGGAAATTGGCTAGGCTTAAAAAAAACCAACTGTTGATGAATTAATCATCAAATCATTAAAATTGTTGTTAACAGGTTAAAAACTTTTTAATTTAGAACTTAAAATATGTATGCATTTAATTCTATGCTACTGATTGTAGATTTAATTTTTTTGTAATTTCCTTATCTGATTAGTGCAATAAATAAATCAGGGAGGTGGGAAATAATGTTAGTTTTTTTGGTTCTTTTAATCTGGTTTGTTTAAATGTTGGGGGTGGGTGGGGGGGGGGGGGTTTGACAAGACAAATAATACAACTATCTGACACAAAGCTTTACCGCCTCACTCCCTCCCTACCTGCAGGATTCTGTAACAAAGTCTGGTGTAATATCTGATGGTAGGCTCTACCCCACCTACCTGCAGGATTCTGTAACAAAGTCTGATGTAATATCTGATGGTAGGCTCTACCCCACCTACCTGCAGGATTCTGTAACAAAGTCTGATGTAATATCTGATGGTAGGCTCTACCCCACCTACCTGCAGGATTCTGTAACAAAGTCTGATGTAATATCTGATGGTAGGCCACCCCTCTACCCCACCTACCTGTGGGATTCTGTAACAAAGTCTGATGGTAGGCCACCCCTCTACCCCACCTACCTGCAGGATTCTGTAACAAAGTCTGATGTAATATCTGATGGTAGGCCGCCCCTCTACCCCACCTACCTGCAGGATTCTGTAACAAAGTCTGATGTAATATCTGATGGTAGGCCGCCCCTCTACCCTCTACCCCACCTACCTGCAGGATTCTGTAACAAAGTCTGATGTAATATCTGATGGTAGGCCACCCCTCTACCCCACCTACCTGCGGGATTCTGTAACAAAGTCTGGTGTAATATCTGATGGTAGGCTCTACCCCACCTACCTGCAGGATTCTGTAACAAAGTCTGATGTAATATCTGATGGTAGGCTCTACCCCACCTACCTGCAGGATTCTGTAACAAAGTCTGGTGTAATATCTGATGGTAGGCTCTACCCCACCTACCTGCAGGATTCTGTAACAAAGTCTGATGTAATATCTGATGGTAGGCTCTACCCCACCTACCTGCAGGATTCTGTAACAAAGTCTGATGTAATATCTGATGGTAGGCTCTACCCCACCTACCTGCAGGATTCTGTAACAAAGTCTGATGTAATATCTGATGGTAGGCCACCCCTCTACCCCACCTACCTGTGGGATTCTGTAACAAAGTCTGATGGTAGGCCACCCCTCTACCCCACCTACCTGCAGGATTCTGTAACAAAGTCTGATGTAATATCTGATGGTAGGCCGCCCCTCTACCCCACCTACCTGCAGGATTCTGTAACAAAGTCTGATGTAATATCTGATGGTAGGCCGCCCCTCTACCCTCTACCCCACCTACCTGCAGGATTCTGTAACAAAGTCTGATGTAATATCTGATGGTAGGCCACCCCTCTACCCCACCTACCTGCGGGATTCTGTAACAAAGTCTGGTGTAATATCTGATGGTAGGCTCTACCCCACCTACCTGCAGGATTCTGTAACAAAGTCTGATGTAATATCTGATGGTAGGCTCTACCCCACCTACCTGCAGGATTCTGTAACAAAGTCTGGTGTAATATCTGATGGTAGGCTCTACCCCACCTACCTGCAGGATTCTGTAACAAAGTCTGATGTAATATCTGATGGTAGGCTCTACCCCACCTACCTGCAGGATTCTGTAACAAAGTCTGATGTAATATCTGATGGTAGGCTCTACCCCACCTACCTGCAGGATTCTGTAACAAAGTCTGATGTAATATCTGATGGTAGGCCACCCCTCTACCCCACCTACCTGCGGGATTCTGTAACAAAGTCTGATGTAATATCTGATGGTAGTCTCTACCCCACCTACCTGCAGGATTCTGTAACAAAGTCTGATGTAATATCTGATGGTAGGCCACCCCTCTACCCCACCTACCTGCAGGATTCTGTAACAAAGTCTGATGTAATATCTGATGGTAGGCCACCCCTCTACCCCACCTACCTGCGGGATTCTGTAACAAAGTCTGATGTAATATCTGATGGTAGGCTCTACCCCACCTACCTGCAGGATTCTGTAACAAAGTCTGATGTAATATCTGATGGTAGTCTCTACCCCACCTACCTGCAGGATTCTGTAACAAAGTCTGATGTAATATCTGATGGTAGGCCACCCCTCTACCCCACCTACCTGCAGGATTCTGTAACAAAGTCTGATGTAATATCTGATGGTAGGCCACCCCTCTACCCCACCTACCTGCGGGATTCTGTAACAAAGTCTGATGTAATATCTGATGGTAGGCTCTACCCCACCTACCTGCAGGATTCTGTAACAAAGTCTGATGTAATATCTGATGGTAGTCTCTACCCCACCTACCTGCGGGATTCTGTAACAAAGTCTGATGTAATATCTGATGGTAGGCTCTACCCCACCTACCTGCAGGATTCTGTAACACAGTCTGATGTAATATCTGATGGTAGGCTCTACCCCACCTACCTGCAGGATTCTGTAACAAAGTCTGATGTAATATCTGATGGTAGTCTCTACCCCACCTACCTGCAAGATTCTGTAACAAAGTCTGGTGTAATATCTGATGGTAGGCTCTACCCCACCTACCTGCAGGATTCTGTAACAAAGTCTGGTGTAATATCTGATGGTAGGCCACCCCTCTCCCCCACGGCCACCCCTCTACCCCACCTACCTGCGGGATTCTGTAACAAAGTCTGGTGTAATATCTGATGGTAGGCTCTACCCCACCTACCTGCAGGATTCTGTAACAAAGTCTGGTGTAATATCTGATGGTAGGCCACCCCTCTCCCCCACAGCCACCCCTCTACCCCACCTACCTGCGGGATTCTGTAACAAAGTCTGGTGTAATATCTGATGGTAGGCTCTACCCCACCTACCTGCAGGATTCTGTAACAAAGTCTGATGTAATATCTGATGGTAGGCTCTACCCCACCTACCTGCAGGATTCTGTAACAAAGTCTGATGTAATATCTGATGGTAGGCTCTACCCCACCTACCTGCAGGATTCTGTAACAAAGTCTGATGTAATATCTGATGGTAGGCCACCCCTCTACCCCACCTACCTGCGGGATTCTGTAACAAAGTTTGGTGTAATATCTGATGGTAGGCTCTACCCCACCTACCTGCAGGATTCTGTAACAAAGTCTGATGTAATATCTGATGGTAGTCTCTACCCCACCTACCTGCAGGATTCTGTAACAAAGTCTGATGTAATATCTGATGGTAGGCTCTACCCCACCTACCTGCGGGATTCTGTAACAAAGTCTGATGTAATATCTGATGGTAGGCCACCCCTCTACCCCACCTACCTGCAGGATTCTGTAACAAAGTCTGATGTAATATCTGATGGTAGGCCGCCCCTCTACCCCACCTACCTGCAGGATTCTGTAACAAAGTCTGATGTAATATCTGATGGTAGGCCGCCTGTGTCCTAGGATCCCTGAGCAGAAGCTCCTCAATCAGACGTTGCTTGTCTACAGCAGACTTGACAGCCTCACTGGAGTCACCCTGGGGCAGGTGGTTCATGTTCCTGGCCGCGTTAATCTGAGCACCTGCCACACACAAATACATTGGTAGAATCATTGCACACATTACACTTATATCTAATCATGGGAAAAGTAAATATTTTGTTCTTAATATATTTTCAGATCTATTATTATTTGAACATGATTTTAGATTGATGTTAATATAAATATAAAATCTATTTGAAAAACACTATTTAATATATGTAGATTTTATGTAAAAATAGTGAGAATTCTGAGCTTATATATGCAATGTAAAGCAATTTTAAAGTACTAATTTTTTTAAAATTTTGACATTTAGCATTATCAAGAAATTTAATTGATATAATTATTTAAAAAAAAAAAAACAAGCACTATGCATTTTAGAAGTATTTCTTGAAAAGTTTGACATATATTACTTTAGAAGAAAAAACTAAAAGAAAATGTGTTAGAATGTGCTTGAACCCACCTGTCCCGTAATGGTGAGCATGTGAAGCCAAGTTAGCCCTCGCCTGGCCCAGGTTCATCATACCTACGGCGCCATTGACTCCGCCTGGACTAAAGCGGTTGAGACCAGGTATGTTTGAGAAAACCGGTGGCGCCGGGTTGATAAATGCAAAAGGGTTGACAGCCTGGTTGTAAGAGATGGGGCCGTGGTTGAGGAGGTTAGTCACCTGCATGGGGTTGCCCAGGTGAAGGTACTGCTCAGGTAGGTAGGGTTTCCTCAGCCCACCTTGCTTGTGGTGCTGCTGTAGCCGGATTTGTTGCTGCAGGTGCGAGGCCAGCTGCTGTTGTTGCTGCTGCAGCTGGAGTTGGTGCAGCTTTTGTTGCTGCTGCTGTTGCAGCTGGTGCACCTGTTGGTTGTTGAGGCGCTCTCGGATAATGGCTGCGGCGAACGTGCTCTGGTCGACCGAGGCTTGCGAGGATGACATGGGACTGCAGCTGTTGTTGGTGGAGACTGATGGTGAGATGCTGTAGGATAAGGTCCCCCTGGTGTCCCCGTTAGAGCTGGACTTGGTGTAGCCATCACTGTTGTTGTTGGTGTCCCCCATTGTTTTGGTCATGCCAAGCTTGCCTGCTGCGTCGGCCTCGACTGAGGAAACATCCAGGCTAGGGGTACCACGGTACATGTAGATGGACTGGTTCCTGTCTAGGCAGTTGGGTTTGTTGTTGTTGGTGGTGGTGGTGCTGGCCGGGATGTTGCCGTTGTTGAATAGAGCAGGCGAGGCCAGGTCGGACCAGCTGCCTATGGTGTTGTGGTGAGACGTGGCAGGTGTGACCACAGGTGTTGGCATACCTGTGTTGATGTGGAGAGGCTGTAGGTAGTTTGATGACATCTGGGGATAAAATAATTTACTACTTTTATATTACTTAAAATACATGGAATAGTGTGGTTAAGTGGGTAACAACCACTATTTTATTATATATTGTTTTCAACAATAATCAGGTGATGACCAGAAAATCTGGCCACCGGATGTATAGGTGAGATGTAAATCATCAATGTGTTTTTTAAAGGGGTCTTTACTTGATACCTGTTTGAGAATGGCTGATTGCCTGCTATAAGTATGATGGATGCATGAATGTGATTGTTATTCTTTCTATGGACTTATTATTATAGACCTATTTTGACTGCACTCATGTTGTATGAGAATTTTCTTCAAGTTACTAAATGTAAATAAGTAATTGAAGTTGCTGTAGGATTGTAATGATTGTGTACTAAAAACTCAGAGACAACTGGTGTATAGACGTGCCATTACAGGTGGTAGAGCATGAGACTGTTAATCCAAGTCTCTCAAGGTCGGTTCTCATGTTCAAGAATGAGGAACATACTTAAGTCCACCCAGCTTAAATGGATATTTGGCAGGGAAAGTAAGGGTGTTGGGGCAAAAGTGCTATAAAAAGGTCAAACAGATAAACTCTACTTCATCTTCTCTATGGGCTACCAGGTCTGAAAGGGTAGTTTTTAAAAATATAAAGTAACTCCCATGTAAAGGCACATGAAGGATATTGAAGAAACCGAGCACACACATAGAGACAAATCTAGTATTTACCTGAGAAGATGGCGCTAAATTGGTTGGGGAACTAGTCTTTCCCATGCTGATGTAGGATGATGTTGATGATGAAGATATAGATGAAATAGGGGAGGGGGAGGTTAGGTAGTCTGGGTTGTAGTTAAACTTGGCCGCATCCTCCTGCGCCTGTTTGAATGTTGAAGAGACGTAGCTCTGGGGTGCCCCACTACTGGGGAGTGTTGAATACTGGGGGTCTGATGTCTCATCCATCAGGAAAGATGACATCTGAGATGTGTTGGATTTCACCTGAAAGTTTTGGGTTTAATTCAGTTATTATAATTATGTGTCAATTCAAAGCAACAAGCTATCACAGAAATTAGAATGTTAACTGTGAAATACAGTAAACATCCATTTGAATTTAAAATATTTGAAAATTATTGCAGTATTTTAGAAGTAGTTTAAATTGTACAATGGAAATTTATGTATTTTTACAAGCTTTTATTTAACTTGCTTCCTCTGTCCGTTGTCAGTCTGTCTGTCGTCATAGATTGAAACGCTTGAGAGAGATTTCGGGTACTTCTAACTGACAGATTCGTTTCATAGTTGGCACGTGGGTCAAGACATGAAGACAATGCAGTCTGACATTAAACTTGACTTAATTGGATGCCATATAATTTTTTATGAATTAAAATTTTGTCCTCATTAGTAGGCTGTCTTATCCAACTAGTCCGCATTATTATACGCACAATATCATGTTCATTAAGTGCGCAATAATTTTTTTTTAGTCATGGAGTGTAAATAAAAAAAATGTAAAGTACTGAAAAAAAAAATTCATATAAATCGTTTAAATAACAAGCTTTAACTATATATAATAATACACTAATATTTAAATAACTATAAAGAAAAGTGTGGGTCTCTTCCTAAATATTAGTAAAGGTGTCCAATAGATAATAAATTTGAAATTCCTTTTGTTTTTATTAAATATAATGAACTTCTATTGTAAACAAACCCCTTGTGTGTATGATATTTTTATGAATGCAGTTTACAATGACAAAGAGAATTTGCTTTGCCATCACATGGGTCAGTTGCTTGAACTGGCTTTTTCACAAGATAGACCTAACCATTACAGAATGGTATTATATTCTCATTTTGTATTATAGCTGTATAATATTATTTCTTTATTTAAAATTTTTTAGTGCTATATTACTGCTATGTCTTTACTACTCAATTGTTTTTTTGTTTTGTTTAAATACTGTTAATGTTTGTTTTTTTTAAAAATAGGCCAATATAAAAAAGGCCGATGTGCCTACTGTTGTTACCGTTATTGAATAAATAAATTGAATAAACAACCACATACTGGGCTTTGAAGAATGACTTTATCCCACTGTATTAGTTACAATATGAGAAGGCATGGTCAAATGGTAGGGCATTCGTCTGCTAACCAGAAAGTCTCAAGTTGGGTAACTGGTTAGAGTTTTGGACATCCCTGGGTCTACTCAGCTCTGATGAGTACCTGACACAAGTTAGGGAAAGTAAAGTCGAGTAGGCATAGTGCTGACTACACTATCCCTTTATATGCCGAGGTCACAGAATCAGGTGAACTCTACTTCATCTGCCACCAGGTCTGAAAGTGAACTTGACTATTAACTACAATATATCTAGGACAAGTGTACTAGTTACCTCATGAGGCAGGGGAATACGAGGAGGTACAGGTGACAAGAGCTGTGGAGATATGGTCCCTGCTGATGAAAACTGCAGGCTGCCTGTCCTGCTGGGTGCCACACGGACTGACAGGCTGGGGGAGGGAGACAGCATCCTCTGGTACGGCTGGTCATAGTCAGCGGAGTACGTTGTGTTGTTGTTGGGGGGAGACAGGAACTTCCTGCCTGTGAAATCCTGCAGCACCGAGTGGCTGGGGCCAGCCTGACCTTTTCTTCGCAGCGGTGGCGACATTGTGGCCGTCAAAGGCGACGCCTCAGATTTCATCAACTGGGCGCTCAGGCACTCCATGCTTCTGGACATTTCTGTCTTTGAAAGATTCTGGTTCCCGAAGTATGTTTTCCCCAGGCCTGGGATGTCCAAGGTCGTGGGTTTGTGTGGCTGGGGGTGCTGCGGCTGGTCAAGCTGGCGCCACTGCTGGTGATAGTCAGCCTGTCGTTGTTGGAAATTGTCAGGGCTGTAGTCAGACCCCAGGGGAGAAGAAGCTGCCATCAGGTTGGACTGCCGGCTGCTCATGTTCTGCAGTGCTGACGGGCTCCCTGCAGCGTGGTTGTTGTTGTTGATGTTGTAACTGCTAATCCCGTTGGAAGGAGCTTGTGAAAAAGATGATGGAAAAGAATTTGTATCCTCAACCCCGAATAAAAATTTGCTATCATTTTGTTGGATTTCCTCGATGCATTTTTGTAGGAAGTCTTCAGAGACAACAAGGTCAGGGACGTCTGGCTGGGCGTCTAAGATAAAACCTTCCCTGAAGGTGGCGCTGCCGTCTAGGTTGGATATCAGGTTGCTCTGCTTGTAGGGGTTGTTGTTGTTGTTGTTGTTCTCAGTCAGGGTTGCCATGCCAGGCATGCCCAGGAGGTCGTAGTTCGTCTGGTGCTTGTTGCCGTTGGTGTCCCAGTAGGGGGACTGGAGGGAGTTGATGCGGTGGTCGCTGGAGGTTTTGGAGGGGCCGAGGGTGGAGTTGTAGTTGAATGGGGAGCTGGGGCAGGAGGCGGGGTAGTAACTGTGGTTGGGTGTGGAGTGGGGGTGGAGCAGGCCGATGCTGCTGGGTTGAGGTGAAAGAGACGCAAGCCTTGATCCCCCAGGAGGATATAACCTAAAAAACAAAAAAAAATTAATTAGATTTAAGTAACCAATTTCACTTGTGCATTAAGCCAAATACCCAAATAATTAACAAATAATACAAATACAACATTTAAAGATAAAACACTGCTAAGATATAGAGTATCAAATTGAAAACAAAAAATCATGTTAATTTTACATATGATTGTGTGGTGTACAGAAAACAGTGGGAAGATTGTACTTTTTCTGGGTTGTTGAAAAAAAAATTAATATAAAAATTTGATGCCAACAAGTAAGTAGGCTAGATAAAAGCTGGAGTTGCCATTTAAAGCATTTAAAATAAAGATGTGATCTAAGTGTGATCTATTATAAAGGACTGTTGGTCCTATTCTGCTTAGGGAAACAACAAGAGGAAGAATGCAAAACACTCACTGAGATCCCAGCCTCCCAGAATGTTCCACCCCAAAGAGCTCATTAAACCCCAGAGAAGCTGACTCAGCAACCTGGCTCTCATCATCCACAATTTTATTTACAAAGGCATCAAACGCTGCAAACTTGTCACTGGATGCACTGTTGCCTAGGCCAAAAGGGTCAGAGGTCGAAGATGGCATCACATCTGCCCCATCATACCCACAGCTGTACTCCTCCATTTTTAGGGTGAGAGGTTAACTCCCTTGCTGACCAGCACTAATGTGACTTGACTTTGTTGAATGGATGCTTCACACAATGTGCACAAAGATGTGGACACTTGCATTTTCTTTCATTAGCTGGAAAATAAAGAGAGAGAAACGTCTTGTAACATGGAGGGATTAGGGGGGTTAGTTTTGGTTCATTATAACTAAATTCTCAAATATATATCAATGTCACATAGCCATATATCTATATAAAACATACATATTGGTATAAACATATATATACATACAATATATATATATATATATATATATATATATATATATATATATATACATACTATATATATATATATATATATATATATATATATATATATATATATATATATATATATATATATATATATATATATATCCTTATATGAGTTCATAGAGAAACAGGAGATGGGGCAACAAAGCTGTTGGCAGATGAGGTGGGGGCATGACAAATTCTCCCCCTGCCACCACTCCCCCCTACATCCCCCCCTCCCCCCAGCCCCCTGTAGAGCAGAGTATTGATCCTTGGATGAATCAAAGTCATGAAAACTCCATGGAATATCCCAGAGATTGAATACAATTTTAGTTGTCTTTGTTTATAAGGCCAACATTCTTAAGACAAGCATGAATATGCATGATTGTGCATTTTCTAATATGCCATAAGCCATGTAGTAATATTAAGGTTACATAATATAACAATTTTATAAGATCAAATATCTACTGCTAAAATTCTGTAATTTAAATGTTTTTTAATATATTTGATGTGTCATCCGTTTGGGTAGCCCCTGAATTAACTTGAGTTAATGAAATGACTGAGTATCAAAGTTAAAACACAGTGACGCAAATCATGAGGATAACGTTGAAACGTTGTGAATCTTGAGGCCAAATTTGGAAAGTTTGTCCCGAAAGTTTTCATCAAGACATTAGGCCTACTTGTGATTTGAGGGCTTCCCCGCTACGTTGGCTGGGCGGTGAAAAAGGCTGGAATGGTTGCTTGAAACGGAGGGAAATAAATGACACGAGTTGCCCGATGTACTCGGCCAAATGTAAGAGGCGCCGATCGATGTTTGCTACAGTTAGAGGGCGGTGACGTCACGTGCCAGATGCTGGACATGAATGGAGCCTTGATGGCCACCAGCAAGACGCTTGCAGTGGGGATCTCTCCACCGCGGGGCTGGTGGATCCATCCACCACAGGGGTGGTGGGTCCCTACTGATTCATCCACCGCAGTGGATACCTCAACTGCGGGGGTGGTGGATTCCGACACCGCGGGGTTTGAGCGTTTAATTAAACCTAATTAAACTTTCTAAAATGGATGTCAATTAAAAGTGGTAAACGACCGAAACATGAGTTTGATTTGGATATGTTTGTCTAAGTGATTGATCGGATTGAGGTAGGGAATAACAAAAGGATGGGGGTAAAGGGCTAGCTCCTCCCGTTGTAAAACACGTCAGGCGTACTTGGATGTATCTCACATTATTTATAAACAATATGATAACATGAATGTCACATAAGGGAAAACATAATGCTCCAGTAAACAAATGTTGAGATGGTGACCTATATTCGTCTTTCAGCAACTGTCCTATAACACTGAAAAACAAAAGCTAACTGGGTTAAATAAAAGTAAACCTTGTAGCACTCTCACACTACGAGGTAGCCACGTTTTCGTACAATGTATCACTCTCACACTCTCACACGTGATAGCCACCACACATGTAAAACTATCACATATCGTAGCCCTATGCCAGTGATCGACAAAATGCCTCAGGAAGCCACATAAGATCTTTCAACTCAGCAAAACTGTAGCTTTAAAAATTAGATTCAAGAACTCATTAAAACGCTCAGGGATAGAAACGTTGTAAATAGACCTATACTCCTGTTCTGATATAGGTTCAACCATTTGGCGAATCAGAACAGTTACATAGAGAAATACATTTTCATAATAAGTTATAACTTTATTTATTATAATTACTTTAAATCTTGATTTAACTAGACCAGGATGCTGATCCCGACACATCCACTTGAAAGTCTGATGTACCTTCCGCAATGAAGCATTAACGGCATCCTGAAGTGTCGATAACCAAGCAGAAATCACACAAATCAATACACTTTAAAATCAAAGAACGAAACGGACACCTGAGTACCCGCCCCTATCCGTTTAAACACAACAGCTGAGGGTCCCAGCGTTGTTTTTTTTCTCCAGAGCGCAAGAGTTATTCACCATTCATTCAACAAACAATCCATAATATCTTCACGCTGCATCTCGTCTTTTATTAGATTGTCAGGCGGGGATGATATTTTTATAATATTATTAGACGCAAGAGCTTAAAATCCCCATCAACCCATCCCTGCGTTTGACAAAGATTTGAAGTAGTGTTAACTAGCCTTCCCTAATTTATCCAATATTTTGACCAATGAACAATTTATTTCCTTTAATATTGAATTGCACCCGTGCGTCCCATCAGTCATTGGAATGTGGGAAGACAGCTTATATTGGTCGCTCCACTACAGGGGGTGACAGCTTATAATGGTCGCTCCACTACAGGGGGTGACAGCTTATAATGGTCGCTCCACTACAGGGGGTGACAGAAGTGGTAGCTCCACTACAGGGGTGACAGCTTATATTGGTAGCTCCACTACAGGGGGTGACAGCTTATGTTGGTAGCTCCACTACAGGGGGTGACAGCTTATATTGGTAGCTCCACTACAGGGGGTGACAGCTTATATTGGTAGCCCCACTACAGGGGGTGACAGCTTATATTGGTCGCTCCACTACAGGGGGTGACAGCTTATATTGGTAGCTACACTACAGGGGGTGACAGCTAAGATTGGTCGCTCCACTACAGGGGGTGACAGCTTATATTGTTCGCTCCACTACAGGGGGGTGACAGCTAAGATTGGTCGCTCCACTACAGGGGGTGACAGCTTATATTGGTAGCTCCACTACAGGGGGTGACAGCTTATATTGGTCGCTCCACTACAGGGGGTGACAGCTAAGATTGGTCGCTCCACTACAGGGGGTGACAGCTTATATTGGTAGCTCCACTACAGGGGGTGACAGCTTATATTGGTCGCTCCACTACAGGGGGTGACAGCTTATATTGGTAGCTTCACTACAGGGGGTGACAGCTTATATTGGTCGCTCCACTACAGGCGGCAGCTAAGATTGGTCGTTCCACTACAGGGGGTGACAGATGTGGTAGCCCCACTACAGGGAGGGGGTGACAGCTAAGATGGGTAGCTTTACTACAATTGGAGGGGGTGATAGCTTATATTGGTAGTTCCACTAGAAGGGGGGGTTGACAACTCAAATTGGTAGCTCCACTACAGGAGGTGACAGCTTATATCGATCGCGCCACTACAGGGGGGAGCAGCTTATATTGGTAGCCCCCACTACATGTAGGTTGACAGCTCAGATATGCAGCTTCACTACAAGGGGTGACAGCTAATGGTAGCTCCACTATAGGACACATATTGATAGCTCTAATCCTAATATATGAGGCCAGCTTATATCCGTAGCTACATTAGAAAGACAGTCCACATTAAATGACTCTAGTATCTTGTTTATCACCAACATTGGTTGACCACAGGAGAACCAAACATTGTTTCCCCCAACTTTAAGAAAAGCCGCCAAGACATAGAAAACATGAATCTATCATAGGAACCACGCAGCTATCAGATGGTGTAACAAAAAGCCTCCAATTCCTGCATGTCCTGTTGTCGAGATGACCAAGCCACTGTGAAACCTGATAGCACTAAGTGCTGGTCTAAGAAAACTAGAGACCCTGCCTGCAACAGACTGAGCAATACTTTTGAGATGTACTTTCTTCGTGAAAAGTAATAGTGTTCAAACCACAATCTCCACATATTAGCCAACAACCCCCAATCACAATATCTACACCCCTAACAACAATCACCAATCATAATCTCTACACATCAGCCAACAATCCCCAATCATAATCTCTACACATCAGCCAAAAGACCCCCATCACAATCTCTACACGTGAGCTAATGGCCCCAATCACAATCTCTACACATCTGCCAAAAGTCCCCAATCACAATCTCTACACATCTGACAACAATCCCCAATCACAATCTCTACACATCTGACAACAATCCCCAATCACAATCTCTACACATCTGACAACATTCCCCAATCACGATCTCTACAAATCTGCCAAAAGTCCCCAATCACAACCTCTACACATCTGACAACAATCCCCAATCACAATCTCTAAACGTGAGGTAATGGCCCACAATCACAATCTGTACATGTCTGACAACAATCCTTAAACACAATCTCTACACGTTAGCTAATGGTCCCCAATCACAACCTCCATACACCCTTCGAGTGAGCACTTCTTAGGTCTCCAAACTCACCAGTTTCCCGACACCCCCACCCCACTCACTCACCCAGCATTCATTAGGCGAACAAGGTGGAGGGGTGAAGATGGGGCGGGGGGAATTAGAAAAAAAATGGCGTCGTCGTTATTTCCGCAATGTTAGAGGGTCGTATCGTCTTATGAGGTTGTCGGGTTAAAAACAATTGCATGGTGTAGTTTGGTTGTTCAGTAATACAAAACTATGTTGTTATTTTGTTGGTGTTGTTCTACAGTAAATAGGTAAGTCTAATACAGGCAAATGCAATGATTTAGTTGATTTAGAATGTGTTTTACTTTATTTTCAAACAGCGAGTCAGTAATTTGTCTGAATCGTCAATAAGAATATTCTGTAGTAAGAACATGTCTAATAGTGTAGGTGCTTTAACCACATTGGCTTTGACCATAGGCGAATTGACCACAATAAATATCTGATTTCATGAGCTCATAATTTTCTAATTTAGACTTAATGCGGTCACTACTAGCCAGTCCCTGAACTGGCCAGCCCAGGTCCGAAATTTAAAAAAATTTCGGACTTTGGCCGGTCAATGGGATGTAATATTAGCCAATACGCGGATTGGCCGGGCCTATGTTTATGTATACCGACCATAAAGAGTTTACCTACCATTTATCTGTATGATTAAAACGACACACATTCGCACCACAGTGGCCACAGTTTGTGAACGAAGAATAGCGGGCCATTTCAATACTTCAGTC